AGGGTTGTGAAAATATTTACAGACCCCTCGCATCCTGGACATAAACTGTTTCAACTCCTACCCTCAAAACTATAGAGCACTGCACACCAGAACAACTAGACACAAGGAGAGTTTTTTCCTGAATGCCATCGCTCTGCTAAACAAATAATTCCCTCAACACTGTCAAACTATTCACTAACTCTGCATTACTATTACTATTCATCTTCTCATCGTTCCTATCACCCATCTCCTCCCACTTATGACTGTAACTTGTTGCTGTATCCTTACGATTTATATTGTTTCCTAGTATTTGATTGCTTATTTGTACCCTATGACTATCATTAAGTGTTGTACCTTATGATTCTTAACTAATGTATCTTTTCTTTTTATGTACACTGACAGCTTATGCACCAAAGACAAATTCCTTGTGTGTTCAATCACTCTTGGCCAATAAAGAATTCTATCCCATATGTGAGACAGCCAGTTTAGTGTAATGGTTAAGGTTCCAGGTTAGGAATCAGGACACCATAAGTATTACTCCTGCCCTGGGCAGATAGTCCATAAGTTTACCTTGAACTAGTTATTTTCTCTCAACGCTGATAAGATGACAATGGCAAACCACTTCCAAATTTTTTCCCCAAGAAAATTGCAGAAACTTGTCCAGGAAGTCACCAGAAATCAATGCTGATTTAAGGGCACAAAACCAAACCAAACTGACCACTACAGATGATTTCTGGAAGTGAAATAAAATCTAGTGCCCCAATTGTGATGCATGTAATTTTTTTTACATCCGAGCTGCTTTTATGGTATTTTTGAAAAGAAAAATGATGCATATTCATGGGGAGATGCACACACCCAACAGGTATGTTTAATTTAGTACAGGGTGGATAAAAATCAATGATTAAAAAAAAAAAATCGGATTTTTTTTTATTTAAATCGGATTTTTTTTAATTTTTATCGAATTTATTTTAATAAAAAACTTTTGGGGTAAAAATCTATCTTAAGATAAGTTTTCTATTTAAGATACATAAACAATTTAGTTTATTCAGCATGAAATGGAGCTTAGTTATGTAGCATGAGGCTGTATATTCTGCAACACTGGGACTATCGGTGAGTCAACAGTGGGTCAAAGGAGTAGCAGAGATGACAGTTGCTCTTTAAAAATTATGATTTAAATTGAGTTGATTTAAATCAAGCCTTTTTACTAGTGATTTAAATCATGATTTAAATCATGATTTAAATCAACTCGATTTAAATCAAATCCACCCTGATTTAGTATATACTTTCATTACTAGCCCGGTGCTGTCTGTCCTAATTGATAGCTACCAATCAAAGAGAGGTCCTTCCCAAACCTGTTGCGTCAAGATGCTGTATCTGAGGAATTCTGGGTATCCCCAAAAAAGACACTTTGGATTGATGTAGTTTAAAGCAGTTTTGATGGAAGAGGCAAGCCTTGAATCAGTGGTGGGTTCCTACCGGTTCGCCCTGGATCAGGCGAACCGGTAGCGGCGCGGCGGGAGGCTCCGCCCACCCACCCGGACGCTTCTGCGCATGCGCAGAAACATCACACGTCCACAAGCGAGCGCATGCACGCCAAGCAAATCAATAGCAATGGGATTTGCAACCCACTACTGCCTTTAATGTTTGAGGTATGAATGCCATTTTTCAGATTTGAGGATTAAACTAGAGATAGGCTGTTGAAAAATATGTGTTCTGTCTTAAGCAGGCCGTACTTTATTAAGTGTACATACTGCTTTTCTTTCAGTTCATTGTGGCATGCACCACACTTTTCCCCCTTAATTTGATCCTTACAAACAGCTGGTGAGATTGAGAGTGTAGGGCAAAAGTCATGCAGTGGACTCTTGTGGCAGAGGATGGACCTGCACCTGGTCTTCTTAGCCTGAGTGTAACACCTTAACAGTTGAATGATGGTGGCTATGAGCCAATAGATTAATCAGTCCTTTATTTCATCATTACGTTATACTTCTTATTCACCACACAACAAAAAAATAGAAGCTCACCTTATTGATATCTATTGTTTCCAAGGCTAGTTGCCTCAGCCTCTCTCTGCGGTCCCTGTTGCTTTCTGAGGCTGAGGCAACACCTCCACTCCCAGTTTTTCCACCTGGACGGTGCTGAAAATCCATGATTGAAGTCTTTGTGCTTCAAAATGCTGGGAATCAGAGACAGAGAAAGAGAGGAAAAAATTAAGTTGGTGTACTTGAATGGTGGTAAGCATAGGATTATCTGTATTGTGTTTTACACTGTGACCTGCCCAGAGTCACTTTAGATTCAGGTACTGCCTAAATGGTTTTCGTCTTAATATATCCTGAGAAAACATGTAAAATCTGCACAAAAATTTAAAGAGGAAAAATCATGTAAGAGTAAGCATTGTATCTCAATTGTTATAAAAAGGAATCCCTGCAGAGTTTACTCTGCTAGTTGTAGTCAACTTTAGGGGGTGGTGCACATCTCCATTTCAAGGCCATTGAGCCAGCGCTGTCCAGTCATGTGGTCAGCATGACATCATGGAGCACTGATACTTTCCCACAGAAGTGGTACCTATTTATCTACTTACATGCTTTCAAATTGCTAGGTTGGCAAGAGCTGGGACAAAAACGAGAATTCACCCTGTTGCATGACACTTGGGTCTCGAACCTGGGCTGTCTACTTTCTAGCTAACAAGACCACCACCTTACCACTGAGCCATCCATTTCAATTGTTACAAGAAACTTTTAATTGTTTAGACAAACGGAAAGGCAGAAACCATAAAAACTAAAAACCAATTTTAATAACAAGGTTTCCTAATAGAGGGGAATGTAGTCATCCTAAAACAAAAACAATGCTATTTCATTAGAACATTATCATGACATCTGAGGAGCTTTAACATAAGTGGGAAGAAGGCAAGTCTTTTGGTGTAGGTGACTATAATGAATCCATATATATTGAATCATCCAATTAATAACCATTATATTCAGAATTAAGAACACAAAAGAAAAATGCTACACTAGCCAACTTCAATAGCCTGTAGGGCAGGGGTGTCAAACTTGATTTCATTGAGGGCCACATCAAGGTTGTGTTTGACCTTGGGGGGGTGAGGGCGTGTGTGGCCAGGGGGGCGTGGCTAGCTCGACATCACTCGTGTTTGGAGCACCTCTGGTGGCCCGAGTGCTCTGCCAGTGAAAAAGGGCTCCCAGGCTCCGTTTTCACTGGCAGAGGGCTGCAGGAGGCTGTGGCAGCCGAAAACAGAGCCTGGGAGTTCTTTTTCGCTGGCAGAAGAGCCCCGGGTGGGCCAGTCCTTTGCTGTTTCCAGGGCGGCCCCACAGGCCACATCTAAGCACCCTGCGGACTGGTTGCTGGGCCCTGGGCCTTAAGTTTGACACCCCTGCTGTAGGGAAACAAACTCCTAATCCACGCACTACAACCTGTTGCAGGGTCCAATCTGGGTCATTCACCGGGACCAGAGGTTTTGTCTGAAGATGGGCTCCAGCACAAGTTTGAAAGCTCCGAAGACAAAACCTCTGGTCCCAGTGACTGACCCAGATCAGATCCTGCAACATTATCCTGGAACACAAATATTTACTTCCATTTATGACTACAATCGGTCTCTAAGATGAAAAAGCTGACTTTTCTCCATCTTCTGAACTCTTTTTATCTTTTTATAGCCTCTGCTCCATCTACAATCATCCTGGCCCCCTTTTTCCTGCCATGCAATAATGTTCCTTTCCACTCTGGCTTCAGTGTTTCCACCTCCTCGCCCTAGTAACTGTCATACATTATCCCTCCCCCCACACTTTTCCATCATTACAGATAATCCTCAATTTATGACCATAATTGAGTCCAAAATTTCAGTGGCTAATCCAGACATTTGTTAAGTGAGTTTTGCTCCAATTTACAACTTTTCTTGCCCGGGGCTGTTAAGCAAATCACTGAAGTTGTTAAGTAAGTAACCCAGTGGTTAAGTGAATCAATGGCTTCTCCATTGACTTGGCTTGTCAGAAGGATGCAAAAGATGGTCACATGACCCCGGGACACAGCAACCCGTTATAAATAGGAGTCGGTTGCCAAGCATCTGGATTTTGATCACGTGACCACGGTGATGCTGCAATGGTTGTTAAGTGTGAAAACTGGTCCTAAATCGCTTTTTTCAGAGCCTTTGTAACTTTGGCCACTAAATGAAGCGGTGTAAGACGAGGACGACCTGTACAAGCTTTGTACAAGGGAATGCAGGTTCCTCCAAAGCAGGGCATTTCCTCTCTTGCCCCCATTCCCACGAATGGCTGAGCCCCACTAAGTTTGGGGGGCCTGTTTTCTCCTCCCATTAGTCCTGCTGCTCCCACTCCACCCTCACCACCATTTAGATAAGCCTGACTAAGTGGCTCAGTGGCTAAGACACTGAGCTTGTTGATCAGAAAGCTCGGCAGTTCGGCGGTTCGAATCCCTAGTATAGGCCTCCTGCGTGAATATTATGTTTACACTAGGTTGGACTAGATGACCTCCAAGGTCCCTTCCAATTCTGTTACCGTTAAGCTATACCCTCCCGCATGTTTCTCATCCCCGGTTTAATTCCCCCTCATGGCCTCTGAGCTCTGCCCTTATCTCAAGGCTGGCACTCTCTCTCTCTCTCCCTCTCGCCTCACCCGTGCCGTTTCGACTCCCTCTCGCTTCATCAGCCGCCGAGGGGCACCGAATCGCCCGAACGACCAAGGCCTTCTTTAGCGCGTCGCCTTGTTACCGCTGGAAGTACTAACTAGGCCAAAAGCGCTTAAGGAGCTTTCACTTCCGGATTAGATCACCGTTAGCCCGGATATTCTCCCGGATGTATATCAAGGAGGAGGGCCGAAGAAGAGGGGAAACTTCACAGGCGTTCGCTCTAGGAAGGAAAGAGGATTAGAGAGAAAGAGAGAGAGAGAGAGAGAGAGAGAGAGAGAGAGAGAGAGAGACCGGGAGGGCGATGGGAATCGGACCCGGAAGTGTTACGAAAGGGCAAGTCCGGTCCGTGAGAAAGCCATGGCGGAAGTAAGAGGGAAGAGGCCATCGATCCGAGAGGCCAGAGGGCGGAGGGGGCGGGGCGGGGCCGGGCTGCGGTGGAAGCGATGCGGTACAACGAACGGGAGCTCTTGTCGCTCTCCCGGCAACCAGCCGAAAAGGCGGCGGAGGTTCTCATGCGCGCCCCCAAGAAAGGAAGCGGTAAGGAGAAGGGGCAGTGACGTCACGGCGCGAAAGGGAGGGGGGATGTGACGACACGAGACCGGGGAGGCTAATTGCGTCATCTGAGGGCGCTGGGGATAAAGGAAGCGAGACGTTCAAGGGCCTCTCTGGCATAACTGCCATCCCTGAGAACTAAACCAGGGGTCTTCAATTTTAAGCCTGGAGGACTTCAACTCCCAGAATTCCCCAGCCAGCAAAGCTGGCTGGGGAATTCTGGGAGTTGAAGTCCTCCAGGCTTAAAGTTGCCAAGGTTGGAGACCCCTGGATTAGACCCTTGAGTGGGCTTTTATCAGCCCTGTGGTTACTAGTCCTCCTCAGTTCCAGCCTCTGTGCAGTTTTCGTCTTCCATAATTGTTCATTTTCACGACTGATTCATTTACCCATTTTATGTTTACACTTTATATATTTATTTTGATTTGCCTTCGGCCTAGTGCCTCCTGGTCCCCAAAACTAATAAATTTATAGTAAAATACAGGTGGTCCTCAACTTACGATCGCAATGGAGTCCAGAATTTATGTTGCTAAAGTGAGAAATGTGTTAATCGGCACAGTGCGTGACAATTGGTAACTTGCTGTGCCACTGTGAATTTTGCCCCCTTTTACGACTTTTCTCCCTGCATTTGTTAAGTGAATCACGGCAGTTCTTTAAAATAGTAATACGGTTGTTCAGTGAATCTGGTTTCCCCGCTGACTTTCCTTGTCAGAAGATCGCAAAAGAGGATCGCATGACTCTGGGACACTGCAACCGTCATAAATGGGAGTTTAGTTATCAAGCATCTGCGTGTAAATCACATGACCATGGGGATGCTGCCATGGTCATAAGTGAGTGAAAAATGATCATAAATCACTTTTTCCAGTGCCGTTGTAACTTTGAATGGTCACTAAAATGAACTGTTGTAAGTTGAGGACTACCTGTAGTTCAGCTTTAAGGTGCTGGGTAGTTTTTGCTACAACTGACTGACAAGCTACTTCTAACGTAATTCATTTAAAAATACTTTCTTAATTTTCATAATTTTATAATATAACTTTTATAGTATAATTTTTAATATACCGTATTTTTTGGAGTATAAGACGCACCTTTTTCCCGCCTAAAAGGGGGTGAAAATTTAGGTGCGACATCTACACCGAATGTAGCCCCGCCCACCCACTGGCCCCCACCCTTTGGCCTCTGCCTCGCAGCAGTTACCTCCTTGCAAGCAAACAGCAAGAAAAAACAGCTCCTTTCAGCTTCAGCACAGCCTAATTAGCATAAGTTGAGTGGATCGGCTTCCCGACTCTCAGCTGATTTGATCTCAGGGCTCTGCTGCTTGCTGCAAAGAGGTAAATTGCTGGAGCAGATTTTTTTTCCCTTGTGCTAATCAAGCTATGCTGAAAATGAAAGTAAAGCAGGCTGTTTGCTGCAAGGAGGCAAAATTGCTCAGAGGCAGAAGCAGATTTCTTTTTCTTCTTTTCCTCACCAAAAAAGATAGGTGCGTCTTATAGTCCGAAAAATACGGTAACTATAGATATAGATGCACAGACCTCTAGTGCAGAGGCTTCTGTATTCGGAAGGCCCATCTGTCAAAGCAGGGTGATCTACTCCATACCTTTCCCTGATATTTCCATTTCCTGCTTCCTAGCCTGCTCAGTTCTTGAGGGGTATTTGGGAGATTCTCCCCATCATAATGCGGCGGTCAACTCTGAGGTTTGTTTAGCTCATACCTCAGGGGTACTTTGGCTGTCCTGATTTCAGAAGGTGCTGCACTTGGGAGAATTAACTTCACTGTTCGCTTACTGGATGATGTCAGTACTGTACATGACAATTGGTAACTTGCTGTGCCACTGTGAATACTAAAGCCATTCTGTTTAAGTGAACAGTTTGGCTATTTTGCTTATTCATATGCATGCATAAATACAGCATTATTGCATCGGGGATTAATAACTAGACTTCTTTTTAGCACCACAATAACCCCTTTCTGGATCTTACAATATCCCCCCAGTTATGTTGGATTGTAATTCCTCACTTCCAGTATGATAACACATATTTGATTTTTTATTATTATTATTTTTTATTTATTTATTTTTATTTATATGCCGCCCTTCTCTGGAGACTCAGGGTGGCTTACACTGTGTTAAGCAATAGCCTTCATACTTTTTGTATATTTTATACAAAGTCAGCTTATTGCCCCCACAAACCGGGTCCTCATTTTACCTACCTTAGAAAGGATGGAAGGCTGAGTCAACCTTGAGCCTGGTGAGAATTGAACTCGCAGTAATTGCAGGCAGCTGGAAACTAAATACTACCTTTAACAGTAGCATTAGTCTGCTGCGCCACTCAGGCTCTTAATGATTTTAATGATTTTTAATGCCCGTTTTTGACTCCTCCAGATTTAACTTTCTTAGTGCGAGTCTCCAGAAAGAGAATTATTAAAATGCAGGGAAAAAAACAGTTCTAAGGCATTCTGAATCTACAGGACAGAATGGGCCCATTTATTATAGTATCGAACGGTACTGATTTCATTAGGGGGCTAAATATTCTTAGGGCAACTTTTGAGGGTAAAAAGCTTTTTATTTACATGACATCCTTCCTCCAAGAAACTCAGGTTGACATATACGTCAGCCAACACGCTTCTTGATACTCCTCCGATAAGACAAATGAGGCCAAGAGAGGAGTGAGTAGTACCAGATCATTTAATGAGGATTAGAAGGCAGTTCTGCTGGTCATAAACTACTATTCTAACCACTCTTTGCCATTAACTGATACTGGTAGGGAGACAAAGAGGTATTGTGTAATATGCTGAAGCTAAAGGTTGCATTAATGTGCTACCTATGTGTATAGGAAAAAAGATTGAGCATCCTTTGATTACAACTGGTCTCAGGTGCACAGCGTGGACCTGCTGGGGTGTAGCAGATGCTGAGCTATGCTATTCCAAACTCAGGGGCTGCTTACAGGTTTCCTGCTGACAACCCAGCTGTCAAATTAGGGCTGCCCAGAGTCACTTGGTAATGTTGGGCAGCCGTAGAAATCGAATAAATAAGTAAATAAAAAATATAAAACTGTTCGTTGTGTTTCTTTTCTCTTTGCAGCCTTGAAGAAACGCCTGGTGAAATTAGTGGTCAATTTTCTCTTTTACTTCCGAACAGATGAGGCTGAGGTAACAGTAGTTAGCAACTGTGTTGAAACGTGATATGAATTGCACCTTAGTTGCACCTAGGCCTTAAGGGGTTAGTACATCATACAGTAGTTAAGCTGATATTTTTATTGGGTGATCACTAAAAAAAAAATTTCTGGTATTTGGCCATCAACTGGGATGAAGGAATCTGTGGCCCTTCAGCTATGATTGAATTATTGGCCCTGCTTTCTGAGACTAATGAAAATCAGACCATCCAATATATCTGGAACAATACTCCTGTAATAAAACTAAGAGTTGGAATGTGTTTTTAAGTTCAACCTAGGCCAATTCTGAGGATTTTGTGTGTGGGGGGGGTTGGTTGTAGTGTTCTTTGGTCGCATGATTGTGATTTGCGATGTTTTTTGCCATTTTCTGGCAGAAAATTACAACAAAAGCCCATGAGATATTCTGGATTCACTTAACACCATATGGTTTGCTTAACCACTATGCGGGTTTGCTTAATGTCCCCTGTGACTTACTTTACAGCCATCCTAGAAACAGTTTTAAAATTGAGTCCAGTAATCTGGTGCCTCATCCTACAACCATAATGACTGATGGTCAGAATTTTGGGCTCCATTGTGGTTATAAGTCAAGGACTACCTATAAACATGTCCATCTTAACTGAAAAACAGACCTGATTCTTTCTCTCTCCTCAGCCCATTGGTGCTTTATTGTTGGAGCGCTGCAAGATTAGCAAAGAAGAAGAAAATGTCTTTTCCATCAGTAAGTGCTTTAGAAAGAGTTGTTGGGATGTTTGTGTCAGGAGCAAATTCCCCCCCCCCAGTAAATTGGCAGCCTTATATTTTAATATTGACAAAAGAACAATGTCACTGATTACATCAGTCTAGGGTGCTGGCTCTGACTGGCAGCTGCTTTCCCTATTTATGCAGTTATTTATGCATACCCATTTGCACTATTTCCCACATCCATTTGCACTATTCAGTTGATCCTGAGGACACAGATAAACCTCCAAGTTGCCTCAACGACCCCAGAAAGAGTGCTAATCACCAGGTGACTACAAGGAATCTAGATATATATATAAAAGCGAAAACCACTCACGCCGTAATCCTGAAATCTCCAGAACCGTAAAGCCTAAAAACTTGAAATTTGTCACGTATGTTCCTCTTGGCTTCTAGGTGCTCACTAAGGATTTTTCGAAATGACCATCAGAGCATTTTTTTTTTTTTTTGAATTTGTATACCGCCCTTCTCCCTGAGGACTCAGGGCGGTGAACAGCCAGATAAAAACATCAAATACAAATATTAAAACACATTTAAAAATATATATAGATTTGGCCCCATTAATTAAAAACGATAAGCAAAACAGAACAATTAATAAAACCCTTAAAAAGAAATTAAGCCAGCCCGGCTTGTTGAAAAAAGAAAGTTTTAAGGGCACGGCGGAAGGCACTGAGGTCATGGATTCTCCTTATCTCAGGGGGCAACTGATTCCAGAGCCACGGATGATCTCGCCCAGTGGCTTCACATAAATGTTGAACAGGAGAGGCGAGAGGACCGACCCCTGAGGCACTCCACATATAAGAGGCCTCGAGGTCGACCTCTGCCCCCCTGCCAACACGAACTGCGACCGGTTGGAGAGAAAGGAGGAGAACCACCGTAACACGGTGCCCCCCATCCCCAACTCTTCCAACCGGTGCAGCATGATACCATGGTTGATGGTATCAAAAGCCGCTGAGAGGTCTAACAGGACCAGAACAGAGGAGCAACCCCTGTCCCGAGCCCTCCAGAGATCATCAACCAACGCGACCAATGCCGTTTCCGTGCTGTGCCCAGGCCTGAAACCAGACTGGAACGGATCCAGATAGGATGTTTCCTCCAGGAATTGCGGGAACTGTCGCGCGACCACACTCTCAACAACCTTCGCCAGGAAGCGAAGGTTGGAGACAGGACGGTAGTTGGCCAATATTGCTGGATCCAGGGACGGCTTCTTGAGGAGAGGCCTCACCACCGCCTCCTTCAAGGCCGCGGGGAAGTAACCCTCACTCAACGAAGCGTTGATAACACCCTGGAGCCAGCCTCGTGTAACCTCCCGGGAGGCCAGTACCAACCAGGAGGGACACGGGTCCAGTAAACATGTGGCTGCACTAAGTCTCCCCAAGATCCTGTCCACATCATCGGGAGTCACAGCATCAAACTCCTCCCAGATAACATTCTCAAGACTATTCCTCGTCACCCTGCCCTGATCTACCCAGTCAGAGTCCAAGTCCCCCCCGGATCTGAGCGATTTTGTCATGCAGGTATTGTCCGAAATCCTCCGCCCTGCCTTCCAAGGGATCCTCCCGCGCTCCCAGATGGAGCAGGGAGCGGGTTACCCTGAACAGGGCGGCCGGACGATTCCCTGATGACGCAATAGAGGCGGAAAAGTAATTAAACTTTGCCGTCTTTATCGCCACTAGGTAGGTCTTAATATGCGACCTTACCAGTGTTCGGTCAGATTCAGCACGACTGGCCCTCCAACCGCTCTCTAGGCGTCTTTTCCGGCGTTTCATCTCCCTCAGTTCCTCGGTGAACCAAGGAGCCGCGAGGGATCGACACCGGGTCAGAGGCCGCAAAGGCACGACTCGATCCAAGGCCCCACCAGCCGCCCGGTCCCAGGCAGCTACTAGGTCCTCGGCCGAGTCGTGTGCCAGATCATCAGGAATTGGCCCAAGCTCCGTCTGGAACCTATCAGGATCCATCAGGCGCCTGGGGCGGACCCATCTAATTGGGTCCGCCTCCCTGCGGCGGGGTGTAGCGGTACGAAGGTCCAGACGAAGGAGTGAGTGATCTGACCATGACAAGGGTTCCATATCTATATCCCCTATAACAAGATCACTCAACCACTGGCCAGAGACAAAAATCAAGTCTAGAGTGTGTCCCCCCCCCCGTGAGTGGGGCCATGAACTAACTGGATCAGGTCCATGGCCGTCATGGAAGCCATGAACTCCCGAGCCATCCCAGACGTTTCACCAACGGATGGCAAGTTGAAATCACCCATGACCATAAGCCTGGGTGTATCAACTGCCACCGTGGCTATCACGTCGAGTAGCTCAGGCAGGGCTGCTGCCACGCGGCAGGGAGCCAGGTACGCAAGCAGCAAGCCCATCTGAACCCCATGACCCCATCTCACGAAGAGGGACTCACATCCGACAATCTGAGGCACAGTGGTCTCCCTCGAACCAAGACCTTCTTTAATAATAACCGCCACCCCCCCGCCCCTCCCCTGGGCTCTCGGTTGATGGTATGCTCTGAAACCTGGTGGGCACATCTCGACCAGAGGGACACCTCCCTCTGGTCCCAACCAGGTCTCCGTAATACCTGCCAGGTCCGCTCCCCCCTCCTGGATAAGATCGTGAATGAGGGGGGCCTTATTTACCACAGACCTAGCGTTGCACAGCATCAATCGCAGGGCCAGGTCCTGAGTATCTAAGCCACCTAGTATCCGAGGGGAGCCTTGGGGGCCGGGGCGCACAATTGCTCTCAGACAGCCAGTGCGCGTCCCCAACACATGATGTGGCCCCCTGCTCCCGCCATATCTGCCCCTCCCAGCCACCGTGCAGATGGTATTTCCCTCCGCCCCCTCCCCATTCCCTCGTGCAATGTCCTCCAAACCGTTACCCAGTGCCGGGCTCGGCTCTGACCTTGGTGGATTTCCCCCCCCATCCCCTTTGGTCGTCCTCCCGGTTCCCCTTAAAAAATTATTAAAAACCCTAATTAAAAAACCCCTTAATCCCCGCTTTGAAACATGCCATTAGTATTTCCTATATTATTATTAACACACACTGATGCTAAGGAATTCTACTCCCCTTCCCCACCTAAAAAGAAATTTGTTCCAAATGCAAAACACAAGCAGAGGAGTGGAGTTTCACTTTCAGTTTTACTTTCACAGCAGGAAGCAGCTTTAATACAGAACACTTGAACTAAGCCAGGGCCAGACTCCTTCCTGTCTCTTCCTTGCTCATACAGCAAATACCGTTTCACTTTCCAAACAGCCCTCTGATGCTAAGGAGTTCTACTCCCCCTCCCCACCTCAAAAGAAATCTGTTCCAAATGCAAAACACAAGCAGAGGAGAGGAGTTTCAGTTTTAGCTTACTTTCACAGCAGCAACCAGGGGATAGGATAGGGGAGGCTTCTGTGCGGCAAGCCTGAGGGAGAGAAGGGGAATAGAATAGGAGACAGTTCTGTGGGGCAAGGCTGAAGGAGAGAAGGGGAGAGAAGAAGCCGATCGTAACTACTCATTAATTTTCAAGCTGTGTCGATTTATCAAGCCCCATCACATAGTTTCGTAGCGAAGCACAGGTATCCAGTTAGTATAATATATATATACTGCAAGAAGGCTCTCTTCCTGGACTCCCCCCCCCCGCCCCCCCCCAGTTGAAATTCTTTAACCAACAGGGTCTGTAAATATACTTTCCCTGTTCCGGGAAAGTCGAGTTGAAGCAACAGGAGCAGTCAGGATGACTGTTTTGTGGGCTTGTTTTTCTAGGCTTTCTTGAAGAGCCAGAGAGAAAATACTACTTCGAGTGTGATACAGAAGAGCAGTGCCAGGAATGGATTGAGGTCCTTCGCAAGGCCAGGTGAGCTCATCTCGTCATTTGAAGGTGGATAAATCTTACTTATTTATCTGTTTGTCTTATCTATTTGGAGAGTACCAATTAAAGGCAAGCCTGAAGGCAGTGACGATATTGTTACCTGATTTACTTTAATTTTTCTTTGGCACCTGCAACAGATTTATTAATAGGAACTAAATAAACTATGTTGCGTTAAAAACATTCGCTGCCTACATTGGGGCTGCTTTGGAAAAACAAGGGAGAAAATAGGCTTACCTCTGCTGGGTGGCATTTCTTTCTTAAGTGACCATCAGAGAGCAAAATGGTCTATCTATCCCAGGGGTCTCCAACCTTGGCCAACAAAGCTGGCTGAGGAATTCTGGGAGTTGAAGTCCACAAGTCTTAAAGTCCCATCAGTTGCATCCAAACAAACCTTGGGCCAATTCTTTCAGCTCTCCTGTTCTCCTTTGATCTACAGTTATGAATTCATGAGAAGCAGCTTGATCTTTTATCGGAATGAGATCCAGAAGATGACCGGGAAGGTAAGCCAGTGGCTGCAAATGACAATTCTTATTCCAGAGCATCCTGATTGCTAAGAGTATTTACAGGCCTTTTGAGATGTACGCACCAACCAGATTTTACACACTTCCTACCAAGTTCCACTATGGATTATTTTAATTTTGGGTATGCTGTGTGAATGCAGTTCTTGTTTGTAAATCATGGTGCAGGATTCTGTACTGGTGTGAACCCAGCCAATTATGGTTTAGCTAATCAAAAAGGGACATGGTGGCTCAGTGGCTAAGATGCTGAGCTTGTCGATCGAAAGATCGGCAGTTCAGTGGTTCGAATCCCTAGCGCTGCGTAACGGGGTGAGCTCCTGTGACTTGTTCCAGCTTCTGCCATCCTAGCAGTTTGAAAGCACGTAAAAAATGCAAGTAGAAAAATAGGGATCACCTTTGGTGGGAAGGTAACAGCGTTCCGTGTGCCTTTGGCATTGAGTCATGCCGGCCACATGACCACGGAGACCTCTTTGGACAATGCTGGCTCTTCGGCTTTGAAACGGAGATGAGCACTGCCCCCTAGAGTCGGGAACGACTAGCACATATGTGCAAGGGGAACTTTTACCTTTACTGCATTCTTACCACTGTGCCACCATGACTCTAGGTGTATGTCTTGCATCATTACCCTCCTGGAGGATCCATGACCTGTAACAGAGACTCTGCTTTCTAACCCATCTGTATATTAGTCTGCATGAGTGCAAAGGGAACCTTTACCTTTACCTTTACCTAATAAAATTGGCTTACCTCCATTGCAAGGATAAATTCATGACTGGCTTGAAATAGGTTTGTGAGGCTGTTTGAGGGGGGCTTTGGAGTGCTTCCTCTTAGATTGGGCAATATAGGACAGCTTCATTTCTGAAGGCATTTGATAACATTTACTAGCTAGATAAGAAGATAGCGATTGAAGCGAGATGGGGAAGACATGAATAGCTTTCTGCTCCTATTCTCATGTGAGTTACAGATACGATTGTATACCTACTCGGGGAAAATGTGATTTCAAGAGACGGGGGATAAATCAAACTGAAACCTTAGAAGCATCTAACGTTTAAAGTCTTGAGTTACGATTCTCAGATGAGGAACAGGAGCAAAAGGCAACGTGTCACATTGTTCACCACCAAGCCAATGCATCTGCTAACTTGGAAGGAGATACAGATGACCTCAGTGGAACATATGCCAGGCGAACGTAGGTAGCTGGCCGTTTTAACCAGCGTAGAAGAGAACACAAATAACTTGATGGAACAAACTGTTAACCTTCCATCTTCTTCCTTCTTTGGATGCAGGACCCCTTGGAGCAATATGGCATCTCAGAGGAAGCCCGTTTCCAGCTGGGGGCACGGAAACTTTAATCCACATAAGGCGAACACAGGAACTCCACTGCTGATATGTCAACAGAGTCAATTCTCTATTTTTTTTTTACGAACTTAAGGGAGGGGAAAGGGAATGTTTCTTTAAAAAAAAAAAAACCCACCCACACTGTCCACACATACTGTTATGTCTTCTGCTGCTTTGTGAACTCAAGTTTTGCTACTACTGATAGCCACAGCTACAATGAAGATGATTGATAAGGAGGATCAGTTTTGCGGTTGGGTTAATTGAATCAGCTCTGCCTCTATTGTATACAGGTGCTCAGAGCAAGTACGCTTGTAAAAAATGAAAGAAATGGGGAAAGGGAGAATCCATTTGGAAGAAGGCCTCGATTTTAATTCTCTTTTCAATCCCCTTTGGTAAGGCAGTGAGGTTGAAGTGACAGATGGCAGAATGTGTTGTCCATCGGCAGAGATGAATTTAATAGGTACCCCAGCTCTGCAGTGTTCACTCCCCCAAACTTACAGTAGTGGCCAAAATTGTGGAAACCTTTTGGGAAAAGTGTATTTTTGAGGTTTGATGGCTAATAACACCACTTTTTGTTTTTGGAGTTTCAAGATAATTATATTCCACTGCTGGAATGGCCTAGGAATAGCCCAGACCTTAACCCAATTGAAAATCTATGGAGCCGACTAAAGAAACTTTTTAGTCAGAAGCGACCTAGCAATAAAACCCAGTTAATAGAAGCAATCACTCAATCTTGGTTTCACATTATAACAGCTGCAGAACTAAAAGACTTGGTTCACTCCATGGGAAGACCTCATAAGGCCGTAATTCACGCTAAAGGTTACCCAACTAAGTATTAACTGACGTGATAATTTTTGTTCATCTCGTTTTTTCTGTTTCCCTTTTCTTTATACTGTAACTGCTATTCTAATAGCAAATCCTTCATAAAAGTTATTGCATTACATTCTTGATTAAAATTATCTTTCCATGGATATATAATTTTATGGTACTACTCGAAAAAAAAGTGGTGGTAAGAAAATACACTTTTCCCAAAAGGTTTCCACAATTTTGGCCACTACTGTATGTCAGACTAGTCTTCCTACCATCTCCCTGCATTGGGTCTAATGAAGCATTTGAGTCAGATCAGAAGAACAGAGCAGATACGGTATCTGTCTCTTCAGGAGTTATTGCAATCAATCATGAAGCTTACCAAGGCCAACGATTTCTCCCAGACACAAAATGGATAGGCTGGCAGTCCTTAACTTCTTCTAGATGTGAAGTGTTTTAAGTGGAAGGGCTGGCTGACAAATGAACACAGCAAGATCTCTGCCTCTTTGAACACGGGTGTCGATGTTAAATCAGTGCTCAAAACAGATAGGAGCCCGGCTTGCTGATCTGGAACAATAGATTCAACTGATTTTCAGCCTTATGATATGGCAAATGGATCATTTGGCATAATTGGCAGCCCTTACAGTCAATAGTAATGATTTCCCGCACGAATAAAAAAGGAACTTAGAGACTCTTTTCAATCTTACATGCTTAGTGTTTACGTTATGGGTGAGAAGTGTAGTAGTTCATAGCAGCCGTGAAGATGCACTCCTGAACTGTCTGGTGTTTGTAAACGTTCTGCTTTTATCCACCTCGTTCTTGGTGTTACTCAGTCTTTCTGTTGCTTCTTCCAGTATCTTTCCTGTCCAACTTTGGGAACTGGCAGCTGAATGTATTTTAAAACCTGCTGTGAAATTTCTTCAGGCATTTTGAAAAGTTTTCTTAATTTTTATCAAGAAAATGGGGAAACTGCTTCTCAGATAGAATGCCTGTGGTTATTGAGAAAAGCGTTGAGAGCCTTTAGAAATTCAAGATGTACTGTACCCTCAAATCCCCCTCCTCTTCCCCTACCATTCCATCTCTGTATAATAAAAAAAGCAATTACTTTTCCATTGATGGATTTAGTTATTTTGCCTTATTTACCTGCTTTTATTTTCTGCTCCTCTGCCACTAATGTTAAAAGTATTTGTTATCAAGTAGGTGTGTTGGGCTTTCAGCAAACCTTTATTTAGTGACTTATTATCTACGTGTCCTTCAGGATAGGTAAATATTTAGGAAAGAAACTTGCTTGCGTCTAATGAATGGCACCCTAGGCACACTGAAAAATTAGATCAGAAATGTTGTAATGGAAAGATATGGTACAATGGTTCTGAGAGAACATCTGCCAGCCCCTTCAGAACTCTGGGATGTAATGTCAGGACCTTATACAGAACAAGAGTTGGAAAGAGACCTTGTAGGTCATCTAATCCAACCCCGTTCAAGCAGGAGACCCTATACCCGTGATGGCGAACCTATGACACGGGTGGCACAGGTGGCACACGAAGCCATATCTGTGGGCACATGAGCATTGCCCTACCTCAGTCCAGCACGCATGTGCGCGCTGGCCAACTGATTTTCGGGCCTTCCGGAAGTTGGGAAACGGGCTGTTTCCGGGGGAGTGGGGAAGGCTGTTTTCACCGTCCCCAGGCTCCTAGAAAGGCTCTGGAGCCTGGGGAGGGCAAACAAATGGGCCTACCGGCCCACCGTGCCATCGCGTGCCAAAAGCAGGGGGGGAGAGGGGGGGTCATGCATGCATGCGTGGGGGAACAGGGCGCATTTTATTATGGGTGTGGACACGCGCGCACGCAATCCCCCCATTACCCCCGCTTTTGGCACACAACGGCAAAAAGGTTAGCCATCACTGCCCTATACCATTTCTGACAAGTGGTTGTTCAGTCTTATCAATCAAGTGGTCAAGCCAGAAGCACCTGTCCAAGTTGGCAACCAAACACATTAAGTCAAAACCAGTTTGCTTCTTTGTGATGTAGTAGGCTGTGTGGTTTATAAAGCATGGTTCACGCTTTCTGTAAACTCTTCCAATTATTTACTTATCTATTCTCAGGATAAAACACATTTCTCTGACACTTTGAGAGCCCCCCCTCCAAAAAAGCAATATTTGGAGCAAGAATTCTTGCAGATCAGGCAAAGAGAATGAAAAAGGTTGTTTGGGCAGAGCCATATTTGTAGATCGGGAAAACTGCCTACATTATAAGATTTTTAATGCTCCCAACATTTAACCTCAATCCCATCTGCAGTCTTTGGGAAATTATTGAAATAAATGACAAGGAGTCAAAATTTAAGGGTAAGCAAACCTGATGCTTTCCAAATGTTATAAACCAAATCCCTCAGACTGTCAATATTGGCCATGTTAGTTGATTCTGACAGGACTCGGCATCTGAAGGCAAGAAGATTTTTTCCATTACCGTCATTTGTAAAATTAGTGTATCTGGATATTAAGAGTGAAAAGTGGGGGGCAAGCAGGGGAACTCTCCATCTTCCTTTTGCTAGAATGGTTCTAAAGCAGTGATGGCAAACGTTTCTAAGCACCAAGCAAAAAACTAGGAAATTGTGAGTTCTAGTCCTGCCTTAGCCATGAAAGCCAGCTAGCTGACCTTGGGCCAGTCACTCTCAGCTCAACTTACCTTACAGGGTTGCTGTTGTGGGGGAAATAGGAGGAAGGAAGAGTATTGGATACGCTCACCACCTTGAGTTGTTTATATAAAAAAAATAAGGGCGGGATATAAATAATGACACGCATGTCACAGGTGACATGCCAGGCCTCCAGACCCTCTGCAAGTCACGTGAAATGGTCTTGCGCACATGCAGCCTCCGAGGTATCTATAAACCATGTACGTCTTCTCATGCAACTTCCAAATGATCTGGAGAGGAGATCCAGAGAGGCCCCTTTTGTCCATTTGTGCATGTGTGTTACACGCCAGCAGAGCCAAGGTAGGTTATTTTACAAATTTTTGACACACTGAGCCCAAAAGGCTCACCCTCCTTGCTCTAAGGCAGAGGTGGGCAACTATGGGCCCTTTAGACTTGCGGACTTCCACTCCCAGAATTCCTGAGCCAGCCTTGAGAGTTGAAGTCCACAAGTCATAAAAGGGCTAGAGTTTCTCCACCCCTGCTCTAAGGTTCTGCACGTTATAGTTTCTGCAATGCCTTCTCCAGTTCAGCGTGCTGATGCCATCATTCCTAGGGAAACAGAATATCAATGATGGCTATCTGACATTATTTGACCCCGGTCAAAAGCCACATAAGGCTGTGGAAGACTTTTATATTTTATGTTATTGCTAGATCTATCTTCCTCGTTAGATTTGCTTAGCAATTAGAGCCACACAAACTCATGGCCACAACTGTATTTCATGGCAAACAATTCATAATACAGCGACCTGCGTTTGGGATAAAATAAAAATAAAAATCCCAAGCCAACTTTAAAATGAATGGAAGCACCACATTTAGTACAGTGTATTAAAATACATACATTTTTAATATAAAGACAAACTTCAAAAGCCATTTTTCTTTCATTTACAAATCAAAGTGAAGTGTGGGAAGATTCAAAGAGAAGATTAGAATGGAAATTCTAGAACTGGAAAGATCGGAAGAGTGGAAAATATATCGATAAGCTTATTATTACATACATATATACACATGCCAGAATTTTCTATGTGACTTTTATGGAAGAATGGCAGATAAAACTTAAGGAGCAAAGTTTATAAAACAAGACGAGACAAAGATACGATGGAATAGGATTATCCGATCTGGACTGCAAGCCTCTGAACAGCTACTAGAAGGTAGCAAGGAGATTTCTGCATCTTTGCTAGCATCTGTTTCTTTGCAGCTCAGACCTAGTAGTCCTATTTTCCACAGTGGAAAATTTAATCTTTAAATAAATTTCATGTTCATGGGCTAATGTGTACAAATCAATTCCTAGACCCTAGGAAAAAAACATCCCATATTGCCACCTTTTAAGAAAATGGATACTCTCTTCAATCCATTTACAAATGGATTTTATATAATTTTTTTTAATATTTTACAAATGAATTCCTGAGCAGCAGCAATTTCCATTATTGACTGAAGTTCCCCTTGAACTCCAACACAGACGTCCGTTCCATTCTGCAGAGAATATATCCAAAAGGCTCAAAAATGCAAAACGCTGACACAAGTCACCATATGAGCTAGACTTGTCTTACCCACCATTTTTTCCCCTCATTTTTTAAAAAAAGAAAAAATAAATCTTAAGAGTTAGCAAGGGTAATCTTTGAAAAACTGCAGCACGACCTATGTGCGGGGTAGGAGAGAAGCATATGGGAGAAAATGAATTAAATAATATGAAAATCCCCTCATTAAGTCCCTGAAATTTGCACAGGGGACTGCTTCAGCTTGAACCAGGCGTTTGAAAAGGCTGCCACCCTGGAATCCAGAGAGTCCCCCTAAACTGAGTTACTCTCCCTGTATCCCCAAACTATTACTGGATATTACACACTGCAACTCTAGTGAACTCTGGGCAGATTTTAAAAAGATCTCCCTGGATATTAAGGATCCATACAAGCTAATTTAGAAACTTTGGAGATGAAACCTTAATGTTTAACCTCCTGCATCAGAAAGATCGGATCAGATTCCGCAGTGAAAGTCTGCTCCATCATCTGTAGTTCCCTGCATATATAGTATCTCGTGGGAGAACACATGCCCTCCCCTCAGTTCTCTTATTTTCAAACAATATGTCCCTTGAATGCAAGTTTCTCTGATTTTTGCTGCTGTGATAGCACACATGAATTACACAACATCCCCTTCCCAACCCCCCAACCCCCAATTGTAGATAATTATGTCATTCACTGATTTTGGGCTCTGAGCATAAATTTAAAAAATGCTTACATATCAGGCCAAAGAGAAGATGCAAGATAGTCAAGATATTTAAAGGCAAGACGAGGGGGAAGCAAAATACATGAAATGGTTATATTTCAAGACTGCACGCTTCCCATTACACGGATGAAAGGGGTGCCATCAAGACATTGAGCACTGATAAAGCCACATTTCATTAAGGACAAGAGCCTTACACTAGAACAAACAACAAACAAGATTATCTATAACAGTGACAAATCAGCTGTACCTGTGCTTGGAAGAATCTAAGAAGAAACATGGATAAGAACAGATCCCAGGCTGGCCCGAGAAAGCACCCAGATTAATAGCACCATAACCTATGCTAAAATGGGGTCAGGTCGAGTGTTTGCGCTTGTTTTCCTGAAAGTGCAATTGCACGAAATACAGGCTGTGATTTTCTAATCGGCTTAAAATTCATTTTCTGCGCATTTAAGGACAGATAGATTACAGGTTGAAAAATACTTCTTTCTTTAGCTGCAGCTGAGATTGGATACGTGCGGGGTGGGGGGGGAAATATCCACAAAACCCAGCAAGCAGGAAGTGCCTAGGAAGGAATATGACTAACCCACTCCACTTAAACATCCTGACTGACCCAGAAATGTTCCAAAGATTTCTTAGCCATTAAGTTTCTTCTCAGCCAGGACAAACTCCACATCGGAAAGGGTACAGGTTTCGTTTCCCAATACCTCGTAGTGCAAAGAACTGATTGGAGCACCATAGAGATTTATCTTGGCCTCAGAAATAGTGAGATAATCATGTAGCTGGACAGACGATTTCACAACGGTTAAGCTTCATAAATCCAACTTCTTGCATTATGCATTTCTTACACCTGAACAGCACCAACAAGAAATCAGATGCTCATTGTGGAATAAGGCAGAGTGCTTGGGGAAGATAGCTTCATAGCCCCCCCTCTTGCATAATCGTGCTTGTCCAAAGAGAAACAGCCACCTAATTATGCTCTACTAAAATCAATTTCATTGAATGTGTATTTTGACCAGCACACTCATTTTTCTTTAAAAAAAGAAAGAAAAAGAAATTAACTTTATGCTGCGTTATCCTGTAGCTCACATATATTCTGAAGAGGTTCCTAATCTATGGCCCCTTATTTAAACTTTTTGGGGGAAGGCAGTACAATAACAAAACTGGGGATTTATTAGGCTTTCTAAGATAGATAGGGGAAGAAAAATAGAAAGCAAGCAGATAAAATGCCACACTCCGGAGCTTGCCCTTGCAACCACAACAGAGAGAAAACTCAAGAAAGGGGTTAGATTTTAAAAAGACTGCAGGTGAATATGCTGTACACGATTCAAGTTATAATGACTGCCTCAAGAGTGAAAAGTCTCCTCTATACCCAGCCAGAACGTGCCTCTTGTGCAATATTTCTCAAACACAACAACTTTAAGATGTGTGGACTTCAACTCCCAGAATTCCCCAGCAAGCCTTCAAGTCCATACATCTTAAAGTTACACGCTGCTGAAATTGAGAAACTCTGGAAGGTAGCAAACTCCACATTCCTGTGCCTTAAAATCTAGGGACTCAAATACTTGGTCACCTTTTAAAATCTTCTTCCTGTCCTACAATCTCCTTCCTTTCTTCATGGCAAGCTAGGAAAAATAACCATCCTTTTATTAAAGAATTATTTTGTGGTGTTTGTTCCAGGTTGCCAAGCGTCTCAAAACCTTCAACGCAGTTGGTATAAAAAAACGTCTTCTTCCTAAGGGAAACTGGATAGTGTTTGGCAATCCCCCCCCCACCTTATTCCCTCTTTTGGCTCAAAGGGAAAAAATGCAGAAATTATACAAAACCTAGGATGTCTTTCAATATCATCAGAAAGAGCTCAACTTTCTAAAGCATTTTTCTCTCACCCAAGCCTGTTGTTCTTAACCTGTTCTCACTTCATTCCTGAACTTTGGTGAGGCTTGCTGAGATTAAGAGAATCTGTAGTCTAAAACAGCCAGAAGGATATGCACTGTGGAATCAAAAAGGCAAAAAATAAAAATAAAAATGGAATTATCCTGTAGTAGACTTACCTAGAGCTTTAAGCCTGCATGCATGTATTTTCTAAAGTTGTCTGAAAAAGATATTCGGGTTTAGTAATATGATCAATTGATTGATTCTCATTGAATGGGAACACTGACCTGTTTTTACCTTGCTCTTCATATCACTTGGATTTCTACTCACAATTCTTGCTCTTTTCTGTTCAAAGGTTTACACCAAAGTTTTCCTTTCCTTTCACACTTGCTTTTACATGCTTGAAAAAATTAAACCATATCCCTCTTCCTATTTTACTATGAACAGTCTGATACAAAAATAAACGAGAATCACCGTCATTTTCTATAAAATATTTGTTGCTTTTCCCAAACTGTGTGCCTTATATTTTCCTCTGTAAAGTGATAACTCCCAAATCACAGATTTGATTTCTTTCTTTCTTTTTTTTTCTTAAAAAATATATTCAGCATGATAACGAAAAATTAACTTTGAGTGTTGTGGTTGTTTCCTCTAACGTGAAAGTAAATAATATTAAAAGCTTCCTTAAAAGCAAATGCCATATATCAAAACCAGCACGTGTTCAATTCGATAAAACAGAACAAAAACAAAAACCCAAAGCTGCTTCTCAATCAAGTATTAAAGTCTTTCTAATTAAAAAAATACACTGTACTTCAAACAAATCAACTCGACAGACAAACCTGAGGGCAGCCCGTTCTTGACACAAGATTCAGCTGCCTTGACTTCTCAAGTTTGACAGAGAAACGGTCAGGCCAACATCAAAGGACTTATGCCTTTATAAAATGTAGGCAATTCCCTCTGAATAAGGGAGGTGGTATGCAGAAGATAAAGCTAGATAGGAATAGTCTCTTCCTATCTGGCTCCTAGATCACTTCCTAGGGATCTGCAAATACATAATAAGCTCACTAGGTATTCCCAAAGGGAAGGCGTAAAGGACAAAAGGCAAATTAGCTGGTTGGATGATCTTCCAATTTGTGAATTCTTACAAATTAATTTTCAAACGATATGAATCCCGGAAGATGCAACCCCCAAACCCCTAAACAAAGAGGGAGAGGAAGAAAGAAAGAAAGAGAAAACCTTCCTAATTACCAGCCATGAACCCAAGGTCTCCAACTTTGGCAACTTTATGACTTGTGGACTTCAACTTGTGGAGTTGAAGTCCACAAGTCATAAAGTTGCCAAGGTTGGAGACCCCTGCTCCAGATGATGGCAAATCACATCATCCTTGACTGCTAGCCACCTGGGACTGATGGAGGCTGGGATCTAATGACCCTGGAAGGCTTTCACACAAGACCAAAACAAAAAACAAAAACCCCCCCAACACCCCGATTTGGAAAACAAAGGCAGAGGCTAGTCTACTCACAGCTTCACGGAGTCAGCCTGCATGGCAACTATGAGACTTTTGACAAGTCAACAACCTGATTCTTGATTGCCCAAAGTAAACCAACCAACCAACCTCCCGGAATGGCAAGGATCATTTTAATAACCACCCATAATTCACAGAAGATACAATTTCTTTTCACCAGTGACTCAGCCCCTCAATTTTTTTTTTTTTTTAATGCAACCCTTTGGCTTTCACACAATTAAGGCAGAGTACCCCCTTCCAAGCAACCACTGCATGTCTGAACGCTGGCGGAGAGCCCAACACGAGCACCACAGCCGAATTCCACCAGGAGAGGCTATAAAGAAGGGAGGGAGAGAGACAGCTGACCAAGGCTTGCGTTATAAATTACACCAATGTCAGAATCATTAAAAAATAAAAGTTTTCAAAAGAGCTATTTCCCCCCCCTCCCTTCTCCCACATCCACTGCTTTCTTGATTTCAATATAAGAACTAGTTGGTTGGCGTGTGTCCCATGGGAGCAGGAGGAACAAAAGAAGCCAGGTGATGTACATAAAACCACAGAACTTCATGTTGATCATCTCCACCAGGCCAAAAAAATGTTAAAAAAAAAAAAAAAAGCACCATGGGTTCAGAACTGGAGAGGCACAGTTTGTCAGATGTCAATAGCACCAAGAGAAGCTCTGTTACATCTCTGCTGATGTGCCGGCCGGTCTTTTTATTTCAGAGAATACGGTGTTTCTGTTGTTAAAAGTTCCCTTCCTCTTTTTTTTTTCTTTCTTCCTTCCTTCTTTCAGTTCTACAACTTCAGGTGGAACAAAAAAATTGTCAAGGGGGGGGCGTGTGTGTTTTAAACATTTAAAAATATATAAATATCTAACTCTATCAACAGTACAAACTGGAAGCTGTTTCTAAGCATTCTCTTCTGCAGTTTGAATATATATTTTAACTTAAGATTCACAGTAGCTTTTTATTTTCCTCTGGTTTTTACGTTTATGACTTAGGTTTGAGTCCAGTAGTAAAAGAGAAGTGGGGCGGCGGGGTGGGGTGGGGGAACCCTTAAGCCATAGAGGCAAAGCACCGTCAGTGGGAGCTGAGAGAAGTTGGTCCATGTTGTCCTTGCATAGGTCACATCAGGTTGAGGTAGAAGTCCTAGTTACCTGCAAAAGAGGAAAGAAGGAAGGAAAGAAAAGAAAGGGAAGGACAAGATTCAATTTTAGATTGGCATTTTAAACAAAGTCAACAATGAGTCTTTTTTTTTTTACATTAAGTAATTCTTTCCAGACTGTCAAATAACACGTCTAAAGTAAAGTTCTCAGCAAGCAGGGTGGATAAAAATTGATGTTTTTAAAAACAAAAATTAAAAAAACCAGATTTTTAAAAATTGATTTTTTTTATTTTTATCAAATTTATTTTAATAAAATGCTTTTGGAGTAAAAATCTATCTGAAGATAGTTTTCTATTTAAGATACATTAATAATTTAGCTTATTCAGCATGAAATGGAGCTTAGTTATGTAGCATGAGGCTGTATATTCTCCAATATTGTGAGTCAACAGCAGGTCCGGGGAGGAGCCGCTGAGGGACAGAGATGGCAGTTGCTCTTTAAAAATTATGATATAAATGGCGTACTGAGACTTTGAATAACCAAATAATGAAGGACTATGTCTTAATGTAAACATATGTATTAACACTAGGATTAGTAATGGTGGCCTGACTAAAAGCTAGAATAGAGGTAGAAATAAGAAATAGGGGGAATATTAGCAGATATAATTTTTATATAATAGAATATAAGTAATAACTAGATGGAAAGATTAGAGGTTGAAAGATGGTATTACTATGTATGCTTAATATCATTGGCATTAAAATGGAACATTGAAATATTGAATAACTGCTCTAAAACAAATATGTATATTAATACTAGGATTATATAAGTTTGATTAATGTAACAAATATTGTTGTTATTATTGTTATTTGTATCAAAATGAATTATACCCAGAGGCCACACTATTCATGTATTGATATTGATGTATATTTAAAAATAAAAATCCAATAATTTTTTTTTTTTTAAATTATGATTTAAATCAACTTGATTTAAATCAAATCCACCCTGTCAGCATGCAAGCAAGATGGACTTAAAACTTTCTACAGTTTTGGCACTCTACTCTGAACATGCAAAAGGTTGATGGGAATGAAGAGCAAATTTATGATGGCTTCCTGCTTCCGGTGATTTAACAATACTTGTAACAAAAAGTTGACTACCTCCAACAAGCTGAATAAACTTCAAAGAATTCCTGATCTGTGCTAAATAAGATTGGTATTGGAATTTGCAAAACATCCCAGATACAGCTCGTCGGTTACTATTTAATGAAGTGGCACAATGTTTTTATCTATTTATTTATTTATTGGATATTGAGGCTGCCAACTGTAAATAGACTCTGGGTGGCTTACAACATTTACGAGAACACATGATTCAACTGGAGTTGGGCAGCCCCTACATTCAATCAAATGATAAAGAAATGAATTAAAGAATTTAAAGGAACATGACATAAATAACATTCTGGGGAAAAATCCACAGGGCTTCCCAAAATATCCTAACTCCAGCGCTGACTTAGTATACTGTGTGAATCCAGGCGGTTGATGATTATCCAACAATCATAGTTAAGCAAGCCAAATATTTAGGCAATCCAGAAAATTAGTAGATAGATCCTCCCTCTGAATCATTTTTCTCCATTCCCAGCCTATGTAGCTTGGATGGATGGACGTTGCATTTTACTGAAGTATATGGATACAGCAGACTGAATCAAGCTTGGAATTCACTCATGCTGTCATGGGCCAATTAAAATATAACACCAAGCCATAATATTGATTGCTTGATTTTGGCTTATTATATTGTATGAATCGAGCTGGTGTAATTCATAGCATAGATGTACAGTCCAGTGGTGGGTTTCAAATTTTTTTATCACTGGTTCTGTGGGTGTGGCTTGGTGGGCATGGTATGGCATGGTGGGCGTGGCTTGGTGGGCGTGGCAGGGGAAGGATACTGTAAAATCTCCATTCCCTCCCCAATCCAGGGGAAGGTTACTGCAAAATCCCCATTTCCTCCTGATCAGCTGGGACTCGAGAGGCAGAGAATAGATGGGACCGGGGCCAGTCAGAATTTTTACTACTGGTTCTCTGAACTACTCAAAATTTCCGCTACCGGTTCTCCAGAACTGGTCAGAACCTGCTGAAACCCACCTCTGGTACAGTCCATGGCCTATCATAGATCTGATGCAGCTTCTTTCCTTCCTTCCCATTTCACTGCCTCACCTACTTTGTGCCAGTACAATTCTTATTTAATTATAAAACACATTTCTAGAGGTGCCTACTTCTGAAATGAAACCCTCTTCAGTGGTGGCACAGTGGTTAGAATGCAGTACAGGTAGTCCCTGACTTACAACAGTTTCTTTAGTGACAGTTCAAAATTACAACAGCACTGAGAAATGTGACTTAGGATTGTTTTTCATAGTTGCAACCTTTGCAGCATCCCCATGATCATGTGATCAAAATTCAGGTGCTTGGCAACTGGTTCATATTTATGACCATTGCTGTGGCCCAAGGTCATGTGACCCCCTTTTGTGACCTTCTGGCCAGCAAAGTCAATGGGGGAAGCCACTGTGGTCATAAGTTGAGGACTATCTGCTTTGCAGACTAATAATTGTGCCGACTGCCAGCAGTTCGATCCTGACCGGCTCAAGGTTGACTCAGTGGTTCTATCCTTCCGAGGTCAGTAAAATGAGGAAACCAGACTGTTGGGGGCATCATGCTGACCCTGTAAACCGCTTAGAGAGGGCTCTAAAGCACTGGGAAGCGATATATAAGCCTAAGTGCTATGGCCTGTATCACACTCAACTAAAAAGGCCCAACAACCATCCTAGTTCTAGACCTGAGTCAGTTTTTTAAAGGCTTGTTAAAAGGCAGGCAGAATAAGGGCAGTTTGAATCTCAGGGAGGTGAAGGCAGGGCTTCCCAGAGGGGCAGGTGCTGAAAGAGAGAAGATGTGCTTCCTGGGTCGCACATGCATGTGCTGGCTGAGAAATTCTGGGAGTTGAAGTCCACAAGTCGTAAAGTTGCCAAGGTTGGAGACCCCTGTGCTAGATGACACTGTTTAATCCATGAGAATCTTTTTTTTTTTAAATTTGATTTATATGCCGCCCTTCTCCGGAGACTCAGGGCGGCTTACAATGCATTAAGCAATAGCCTTCATCCTTTTGTATATTTATACAAAGTCAGCTTATTGCCCCCACAAACTGGGTCCTCAATTTATCTACCTTAGAAAGGATGGAAGGCTGAGTCAACCTTGAGATTCGAACTTACAGTAATTGCAGACAGCTGGTGTTAATCACAATGCTATTAGTCTGCTGAGCCACCAGGCCCTGTTGAGGGCATGCCAGAGTTGAGCATGCCAACTCTGTTTTAGCACCTGTATCTGTGTCTGATCCCTGATTATAACGGATAAGGAGAAGACCCGTGGGACCGACTGAGATTTCTAAGGCTGCCTCTCTTACCTGCCATAACTCTGGGTGACTCACCCAATGAATCAATTAAAAAATAAACAAGCTATAAAAGCCCACATCTAAAGAACATAACTCCCTGTGCTGTAAACAACGGTTCACAGAATACTGAGTTTCACCCTATCCAAATGCTTGGTCTCCTACACAACTAGGCCCCCGTGCCATGTAAAGCCTTTATAGGTAATAACCGGCACCAGAATTGTTCCCCAATTTAGTGGTGATCAGGGCTATATGGACGTAATAAGACCTGCCCGTAGCGGCTTCACATTGTTACTTTCTGGACCAACTGAAGCTTCTATGTAGTCTTTAAGGGCAGCCCCACGTACTGTAAAGTGCATGGCAATAATCTACACACAAGATAGCCAAGGCATGAGTGATGGAAAGAAGGTCTCCCAGTCCAGGAATGGGCACAACTGCTAACCAAAGCAGATCTGGACAAAGGGCACAGCTGCCGTCAACTGCCATACAGATGCTGAGGTGGTCCCTTTTTTCTCTTTCCTGTTGTCTTTTCCGCTGTTGAAAGCCTCGTTTCCTTATTCTTTGCTGCTTGTCTGCTCTTATCTTTTCTTTCCTTCTTGCAGTCTTCATCCTTATCTTCATTTTCATACCCTCCCACCCTTTTCCTGGCACTGAGAAACTTCTCAACCACATCCTTTCCCTTGACAGCCCAAAACCTCTATGAAGAATTACAGTATATCTGTGTAGTTTTCCCTATTTCGGGCTTTAGTCATGACCCCAATCTGCCTAAATTATCAATTAAGTTTGAATAGAAAACGTCAGAAGACAAATGAGTTATAAAGCCCCCCCTTGGCCCGTTCTCTTTCCAAACAGCTTCAGCTAAGATTAAATGTTTTTAGTTATTATTGCAACTTGCATTATTATTGCAATAACTGTCTGGTTTGGTTCTGCAACCCAACAAGACAGACACAGACTTCAGAGGATAATTAGAACTGCAGAAAAAACAATTACTGCCAACCTGCCTTCCATTGAGGACCTGTATACTGCATGAATCAAAAAGAGGGCTGTAAAAATATTTACAGACCCCTCACATCCTGGACATAAACTGTTTCAACTCCTACCCTCAAAACAACACTATAGAGCACTGCACACCAGAACAGCGTTTTTCCCAAACGCCATCACTCTGCTAAACAAATAATTCCCTCAACACTGTCAAACTATTCACTAAGGCGGCATTACTATTACTATTCGTCTTCTCATCGTTCCTATCACCCATCTCCTCCCACTTACGACGGCGTGACTGTAACTTTGTTGCTTGTATCCTTACGATTTATATTTATTGTTTCCTAGTATGATTTGATTGCTTATTTGTACCCTATGACTATCATTAAGTGTTGTACCTTATGATTCTTGACAAATGTATCTTACCTTTTTATGTACACTGAGAGCATATGCACCAAAGACTAATTCCTTGTGTGTCCAATCACACTTGGCCAATAAAAAGATCTAATCTAATCTAATCTCTTCAGAAATACTCCAATCTTCAGCATTATTTTCGCACTCCAGGACATCTGCATAGCTCCTACATGCATGGACGTTCACATGATCCATGCCAAGGCTTGTTATCGTTTCCCTATGTGTTCTGTCTTGTGTTTGATGCACTGAACCATAAAGTAGGTTACAGGTAGTCCTCAACTTATGACCACAATTGGTCATGACCAGAATTTTGGTCGCTAATTATGTGACCAGACCTGATGTTACCACCATTCGATCACTTTCTGCCTCAGAATAATCTGACCCACCTAGCTCATTACTGGCTACCCATAATGTGCAAAAGATTTTCAGGTCAACTTCTTTATATACTATTTTCAATCAGAATACATTATGGCAAAGAGGGGCAACCTTTGTGAGAATGGACCACCATTTCCATTGAAAAACAAACAGAGTCCCTTGGGAGTTGGGTGGCATAGAAATGCGACAAAATAAATAAACAAAATAAAGGGCATGGTCAGGGGAGCAGTCGTATCATTGGAAGACTGTTGTGTGCTTTGGAGGGACAACAAATTGAGATCTCATTGTGCAAAGCCAAAGCTACATTCCAATCCACCCCCCCTTTTTTTGTTCTTTGATTAGCACTGCAAATCTGAGAGTGTCCTGCAGATTGTGTGCATTCTGGGGAGGCCCACCGACCCTTATCTTTGGGAGTAACGTTGAGGTGTTTCTCTGTACAAAATCCTGGACCTCACTGCTTAGTTAGGGACTTGTCCCCAAGGTTCCTATCTGATTGGAACCAGCTCTCCAAGGCAATGGTGGGTTTCAAAATTTTTTACTACCGGTTCTGTGGGTGTGGCTTGGTGGGCATGGCTTGGTGGGCATGGCAGGGGAAGGTTACTGCAAAATCCCCATTTCTTCCCGATCAGCTGGGACTTGGGAGGCAGAGAACAGATGGGGGGCGGGGCCAATCAGAATTTCCACTACTGGTTCTCCAGAACTGGTCAGAACCTGCTGAAACCCACCTCTGCTCCAAGTTCTCCTGCAGAAAAGGGTTTTTCTCACTCCTTTTTAGTGAACTTTCCCAAGAGAACATGGCAGGAATTAAATTCGGGGAGTTTTCATTTGTAAAAAAAAAAAAATTAAAAATGCACTCGGCTGTTGAGCTTCACCTCTTAAGGGAAACAAGGGCACAGTACAAATTGGAAAGGCAAGATATGTGATTCCATACGTCTTAGCACAGAGGTCTTCAAACTTGGCAGCTTTAAGACTTGTGGACTTCATCTTCCAGAATTCTCCAGCCAGCTATGCTGGCTGGAGAATTCTGGGAGTTGAAGTCCACAAGTCTTAAAGCTGCCAAGTTTGAAGACCTCTGTCTTAGCATGTCACAGCACCAACCTCCTGTGTACCACCCTTACCTCACCCAAGACAACCCACACCAGCCTTACCTTACAGAGCACCAGTGCTTAAAAGCTAAGCCTAGCTCGTTATCGTGGCTTAACTCCAGAGAGATGTGAAGCATAAGGAGACTGCATGCCAAGGGTGACCCACATAGCAGGCGTGCCAGCTGTGTTGGACTGTGGGATCCCAGGCGTGGCTTGGGCCAGCGCCAAGCGGGGCAAAGGTGGATGGTGGACAGTGAAGGAGGGGCGGGAGGTTTTGTGCTGAAGAGAAGCTAGTTTAATAGACAAAGCGGAGTTAGCAGTGGAAGATGGCGGCAAGAAAGCCTCTGAAACTGGCAGAGATGACAAACTCTGTAGGAGGACAGGTTCGGAGTTAGAAGTGAGGAGGGGAGGAGGTGGCGGCAATGAAACATTAGGAGGAGGTGGGGTCCGAAGGGCGGCACGTGGTGGGGCGCGGGTGAGATGCTGGGCGTCGTTAGACGGCGCTGGGTTGGGGGACACATGGAATGATGGGGAGCTGGCGGCGACCTGCAGAGGATTTAAGCTTAAGAGGGTACAGCTGGAAACGGCACCGTTGCCAAAATGGAGAGAGGAAGTGGAGGATGAAAAGGAGGAAGTGGAGGGAGAGGGGATGGAGGAGGAGGAAGAGGAGGAGGCAGAAGGCACCACATGGTTAAAAATACCTGCAAACAGGAGAGAAAAAAACCCTCAGCAGATGGACTTTATACAGCTCACAGCAAGAGAAGCAAAATAAAAGCAGGCAGGCAAGCAATAATGCAGTATGAAAACAGCAGCAGGCAATGGGCAGTGGCAGTAAAAAAAAAACACACACAACCTAGCAGAAAAGAGACACACTTACCTCTTCCTTGCTCACATTCTAGAAGCACCAAGCGAGAACTCCGTGGCTGAACTCAATACCCCAACACAACCCCCAGTGGAGATAAACACACAGGCCCTAAGTAGTCAGAATCGTTTGAAAAACTACCGTTCATTCTAGGCCCATCCTCAAGATACATGCGGGCCTTGTTTCCTGCAATTCTTAAGATGCCTCGGTTTAGAGAAAAGCCTAAAATAGAATGTTGCAAAGTGTTCCAAGCCTCCCCTCGTTCTAGCTCACAGACCTTCTCACAGAACTGATTAAAAGATGCTCCAGAAATTTAGCTACGTGACAGGGATTCACAGGGATTCCTCGCGAGACGAATCCAGGTGGGAAAAGATTTCCAAAAAGAAAGAACGCTTGAAAATGTCTGCCATCAAGAATGAAGGGTATGAAACACCAGGAAGGGTGGTGGAACCTGGGGCTGAATTCTGGATGGAGGGGCTCCTTCCCAAGGAACTAACAAGACAAATCAGCCTTGAGTCCTTGGCATGCAGAAAAGGTCTAGACTCACCCTAAACCTTCATAGGATTTATCTGATAGTTATGCAGTGTGTGCTTTAGTCTGGCAAGATTCCGGACTACGGGCGAACCAGCAATAAAGAAAAGTACTTTGAACAATTCATCATGTCGTTCTTGCTTCCTTGCACCTGACAGTATGTTCTTTTCGGCCAATAAAGTTCAGCTTACCTCCAACTGTTCCACCTGTCATCCCGGGAGAGAAGTTCCCCATCGTGTGTGAGTTGGTCAGGCGGGTGGCAGCTGATGATACATGCACTAGGCTGGCGGCTGGCATCGAGTTAAATAAGGACTGCAGTACCGAGGAGTTTGTTACCATGGGGCCAAGGGGGAACTGCGTGCCAGTGGTTAAGGAGTTCAAGAAAGGGTGGTGGGTCTGAGTAGAGGAGGCCGTGCTGGACGACTTGCCAGAGCTGGCTGCCGAGAGGCTTTTGCCATTGAGAAGGCCACCAGAGGGGACAGCAGCAGCAGCAGCGGCGGCAATGAAGAGGTTGTGGCCGTTCTTGAATTCCACATCTCGTTCCCGTCCTTTGCCGAATTTGTTGTTTAGCACCAAAGCCTTGTCCGAAGAGCCTCCCAGTCGGAGACTCAGTTCGTTGGCCTCTTTGCCTTTCAGTCCTGACCAGCTTAAATCTTCCCCTTTCCCACCACCAAGGCTTTCTAGCTGCCTCTTGCCCAAGAATGGGTTTGTCTCGGGGACTCCAGCCTCTTTGTTCCTTTGTACAAGGAAACCCAGCGAGGAGCCGCCCAGAGCCGTCACCACGTCAGCAGTTTTGTGAGAAAATGAAGCACCATCAGTAAAGCTATGTAAACCGACATCTGCCGACAGCCCACCGTTGTAAGCAAATCCATTCATGGCGTTGGTACTTTGGCCAAGCCCATCGGATGCAGTCATGTGTTTCCTCGCATGCGTGCCGGCCTTGTCGCCCGCCATGTTGTCATCAGAAGACGGTCTGAAGGCAAAGAGGGTGTTCTGATTCAGGGACGCTGCCGATGCTTGCAAAGGACTGTCTGCCGTTTTGGAAAGATTGATGTCAGAAATTGGAGAAAAGGTTGACTTCCACTTGCTGCTGTTCATGCTTTCAGCAGTTTGCTTTCTCCCAGCTGAGTTGATGCCTGGTTTGCAAAGATAGAAAATGTAGGTGTCAGGGTCAGGAGAATGTGTTCCCCCTTTCTGGTGGAGAAATAAAATTAAACGGGGAGCCTGTTTTTAAACAGGGTTGGCTTTTTTTTGATCCCAAGGAGAAAATGGAAGACTTTCTGCCAGAATTCTCCAGCTAGAAACGGCCATACATAAATCATCGACTGTGCAAGAATCGTTAACGGAAGGAGAGTGACTTCTGCATTCATCACAGTTAGAGAACAGCAGCCCATCTTGCTTGGATCAAAATCCATTTAGTCCAGCACTGTGGCTTCTAAAAATAGTCACCCAGTTTCATACCACAAGAGATATATTGTCTTAGAACAGAGCACAAGCTATCTGAACTCAGCCATCAACTCAATGATTAAAACCATGAAGCCAACATCACATCTTTCGAAATAGGATTTCCGTCGCTACCGAAAACTTAGATGCTCACCTATTTTTTTTTTAAACACTTCACAGTGAATTCACACATTTTGGTTTCAGTTACAGTTATTGGACTGTGATGCTTGACGTGAATTGTGTTAACGCTTGTAAAAGGTTTGCAGTTCTTTTTAGTTTTTTTTTTTTTTTTACAGAAATCCTACATCTATTCTAAATCTGCAGCAACCGAGCAGAACAAAAAGCATTACCATCAGCGAACCAACCTCCCTACCAGACTCAAGCTGAGGGAAAAATGGGAAGCTGGGCCACATACAAGGCCAACAATTTGTGGCTCCTTCCTTTCTTGAACTTTTTCAGTGCCAGAAAGGCTTTATGAGAAGCAGATAATCACAAGTGGTTGAGTTTATTTCTATTCTTGTCCCGATCAATCCCTTTTGTCTTCTCAAATGCCCGCCTACTGATCTACAAACTTACTATTTTCCAGCGGCTTTTGTGGAGATTTGCTTTCCAGAGATATTGTTGCAATTTTTCTTTCAATTCTAGGAAGGAAAAAGAGGATTATTTGATTAATATACAGATGTGTTAGAAAGCACAGTCTCTGTTACAGGTCATGGATCCTCCAGGAGGATAATGACGCAAGACATACACCTAGAGCCGTGGTGGCACAGTGGTAAGAATGCATTACTGCAGGCTAATTCTGCTGACTGACTGCTGCCAGCAGTTCGATTCTCACCGGCTCAAGGTTGACTCAGCCTTCCATCCTTCCAAGGTCAGTAAAATGAGGACCCAGATTGTTGGGGGAAATATGCTGACTCTGTAAACCACTTAGAGAGGGCTGTAAAGCACTACGAAGCAGTATATAAGTCTAAGTTCTGTTGCTATTGCTATTACCTAAGAGAACCCCAAAATGGTTGAAAATCTAATATTAGACTGCTCTGAAATGGCCTGCTATGATCTGAACCCAATACAACATTCATGGAAAGAGCTCCAACTCACAGTTGGGAGCTTCCTCATCTAAGACAACTGGAGTTGGGCAGCCAATAAATATAAAGAAAGAAAGAAAGAAAACCACTGCCACCGGAGTTTCAGAAAGCACTTGATTGCAGTTATTGCCTCAGAACAGTATGTTACAAAATATTAGGCTGGGGTACCAATAATTACAGCTAGTCCTTGAGTTACAATGGTAATTGGAACAGAAATTTGCATTGCTAAGTGATGTGATTGTAAAGTGTGATGAGACATTACATCACATTGTAACAGCAATACCAGCCCCCCATTGCTGTCATTAAACGAGGACATCATGTGACCATGACTTGCGACTGCCCCTTGGCTTTCAACAAGCAAACTACCAAACGAAGGGAATTATTTGTAGCTCAGGGCTGAACTGTAGGGTACTTGATGTTCTTTGAACTTGGTTGTTTGCCTGTAGATATTTCAAGCATATTAAATATGGAGGTTCTCGTAATCATTTTAATTTGAGATTCCTGGACTATGGATTATAGTTCTAGAATGAAAAACTAAACACTACGTTCATCAGGCCTCTTTGCTATAATGTCAGGGAATTTTACCTAAGCCCTTAGCACCCTTCAGGAATTTAATTTAACACACCACTGTTTGTTATGGTTTCTAATAAAATGTGTTCTTTCTCTGGCTTACTGAGAGAAAATCAAATAATTAAGAATGATAGGTTAGATATTATTATAAAGCCCATTACATTATGACAGTAATCGAACCCAGAATTACAATCATCAGACACAGAGGTCATAAGGCAAGGCATCATGTGACAGGACCTGATTTTTTGACATTTTTTTTATGGCAATCATTAAGTAGATACCATGGTCTTTAGTGACCACTGTGGTTGTTAAGGGAACACAGAAGTCATTAAATGAATCTGTTTTTCCCACTAGGCATTTTTTTTAACAGAAACTGGAAGTAAATGCTGCAAAGTGGCAAAAAAGTCACAAATTGCAGGCAAACAGATACAATTTGCCCAAGTGCACAAAATGCGATCACAGGACCACTAGGTGTGTGTATGGCAATCATAACTTTGAAAATGTGTTGTAAGTAGTTCTGGGGAGGTCTGTTGTAATTTTGAACAGTCATTGAAGCGACTGGTTGTAAATCAAGGATTACCTCTGAATGGTGAGAACTTAAGTCAGTCCCTACAGGACTGCAAACATCACTAGGGTGTGATTTTAATAAGGAGAACAAGGGAGAAGTAATAGTTCCAAAAGTCACAACGAAAATGGGATCAAGAACATATTACAAATGCATGATATTATTACAGGGTAAATGTCTATGGAGATTCTCAGTCATCCAGGTCATTGTTGTCCCAAAGCTGCTTTTCTTTTTCTTTTTTTTCTTTTTTTAAAGATTTTTTTTTATTTTCAAACAAAAACAACATAAAAACATCATCCTTTCAAACAATTACAGACAGTGTTTCGGTCGGTTAAAATCCTTTCGTGCTCCCAAAATCTTCAAAATATCAATATATGGCAAATGTTCTTTTCCCCTAAAAGAAAACAAGTGTTTACACATTTTATCTTAATTTCATTTCATGTATCATATCTCATCTCCATGTTTTAGCAAAGCTGCTTTTCTTTTTCAAGAGGCAACCGGACTTTCTGGTTTTTCTTTGAAGACTTTTTGCTTCTCATCCAAGAAGCTTTTTCAGCTCTGACTGGATGGTGGGGAATGGAAGGATTTACACTCTTTGCAGACAGCTGGACATTTGCATTCTTTTAGCGGGTCATTAAACCTCCAGGTGAACTTAATGGCCCTCTAAAAGAATGCAAATGTCCAGCTGTCTGCAAGGAGTGTAAATCCTTCCATTCCCCACCATCCAGTCAGAACTGAAGAAGCTTCTTGGATGAGAAGCGAAATGTCTTCAAAGAAAAACCAGAAAGTCCAGTTGCCTCTTGGGGGGAAAAAAAACCACCTTTATTACATGGTAAAGTAACCTAAAACACATTTTCAAACTTAAGCACGTTGGGGAAGGAAACGCTGTGGGATTTGAGACCCTACGTTGCTTGAAGAAGCCCCTCATGCAAGGATTGCACCTGCTACTACTCGCCTGGTGCTGTTATGGTCATCCTCCAGGCTCTGTTCTTCATCAGAGGTTAGCGGGGAGTAATGGATGCCATTGGTCTGAATTAGAGGCTTCTCCTTTTTCAGCACAGGTGGCTGATCATTGTCCTGATATGGAACAGGAGAATTCTTCAGGGAGTTTTCGGGGGAAGAAATGGCTGTTATTTCTAAAGGCTGGTTAATGTTGCTGACCTGAGGAGGGAAGACAAAAAGAGAACATTAAGGATTTGAAAAAGACAAGGGGAAGGAAGAAAGAGCTAACTGTGTTTCTAAGGATTTTGCTTTTAAAGACAGTGTTGGTCAGCTCTGAGGAAAAGGAAATATATTACTTTTCAGGTAGAGAGTAATACAAGTAGTCCTCAACTTAGGATCATCCACTTAGTGACCATTTGAAGTTATGACTGTGCTGAAAAAAGTGAGTTACAAGTGTTCCTCATGCATACAACTGTCATAGCATTCCACAATCCTGTAATTGCAGTCCAGGTGGTTGGCAATAGCAACAAAAGTTTGACTTATATACTGCTTCATAGTGCTTTATAGCCCTTTCTAAGCTGTTCTGACCAAGGCTTCCTGAGACAGTAACAATCACACGCTTAGTCCCAAAAACCCTCTTTTTATTTCAATGGCTGCGAATTATGTTCATTCACAGCCTGTAATGAGTCCCAAGCAGTTTGTGAATAGTCCGACAGAAGTCTGCCACAGTCCTTCGGGATAAGGCTGATAGCACCCGCCTTTATCTCCCTTGAAATGCTGCCAAAGACCTAATTGCCAATTAGCTTTGCAAGGCCAGAGCACAAAGTCAAAACGGAGCTTCAGAGTTTAAACCGACCAGAACGAACAAAGTTGTTTCCTGCAAAGGCTCATGTCCCTTTGTTCCTCCTTTATGTCTTACGGGAGGGGCCAGTCATCTCCAAGCCTTACTCCCAAGTCGCACCTTTTGTTTTAACTGTTCTTGCCTTCTGGCAGCTCTGCGCATGTGCGCACTGGAAAACAGGCTCCCTCTGTTCCTTTGCCTTGCTGATGTCAAACTCTGGAGGCTCCGGGGTCAGCACATAACTCCCAGATGTCCCTGGCCCCATCTCTGCCTCCGATGCAGAGCCCTTGTCCGAGCCTTCCCCAGACTCCAGGACTGGCCTATGTTACGCCCCAGTCTCCTCACTGGCTGTCTCTGCTACCAGCTCTGCAGGCCACCGGTGGACCACAACGTAAGCAGTTTATAGAGTCGGCATGTTGCCCCCAACAATTTGGGTCCTCATTTTACCAACCTTGGAAGGATGGAAGGCTGAGTCATCCTTGAACCCATCAGGATCGAACTCCTGGCAGTGCACAGTGAGTTAGCCTGCAATACTACATTCTAACCACTGTGCTACCAGGGCTCCTGGCAACCAGCCTCTTCCCCATCTCTGCAAAATTGTTCCTTAGACCAGGGGTGGGCAAGTATGGCCCCTTTACGACCTATGGACTTTAATTTCCAGTTTTCCTGAGCCAGTATGTCTGGCTCAGGAATTCTGGGAGTTGAAGTTCACGGGTCTTAAGGGGCCATAGTTGCCCACTCCTGCCTTACACTACAAGAGTTTACAATTCTTTAGGGAAGGGTGGAAAAATCTGTGCCATGCCAGCTGGGTTTGTTAGGATGAATAACTTGCCAAAGATTTAGGTCAGAAATGAGGAACTTGTACCATAGGAGGCAAACTCAGCTGAGAAGGCCTTCCTATTTAGATTATAATACCTCAAGGAAGATCCCAACCTGTCATATCCCTTCCCGCTACAGGAGAAAGTGAGCACTATTCCTTGCCTTTTCCTATACATACAGAAAAGCAACTTAATTTCATTCACAGTTAGGATGGCAGAAATTAATGCATGGGATTATAAAGAAACACTAAGGAGATTGTTCAAAACAAGGCCATAAGATCACAAGAATTTCTTAACTTTTTATAGCTCCCTGATTAACAGATTCTCAAACACTCTTCTGAAGATGAAGCAGGTTTGAACTCAAAGGCAGGCCCAAGGGATTCAGCTTATGTAAGTTTGAAAATTGTTTTTAATTACGTTTTCATATAATTTTGTAATCATTGCTCAAACAAAACAATGGGCTGACCGATACTAGGATTTAACCTAGGATCTTCTATTAACAAAAAGAATAACCTAACATCCATCTTCAAACTAATTTTTTGCCCTTGGTCATTTTGTTAAGGCCTCTCACTTATTTTAGGTGGGCAAAATGATCTGGTCTTAAAACTGCAGAGTTCAAACCTCGATTCTCACCATGGAGTTGATGTTAAGGGGAGATCCAGAAGGCTGAGCAAAGAGCCCAGCCATGGGGGGCAATGATTTGCGTTTGGGTGACACCCCAGAGTTTACACTCGGCGTTCCTGTGGAGGACCGCTTCCTCCGGCCACGCTTCTTCCCATCTTGCATGTATGCCTGGCCACAATCCGTCCGGATGCTTGCGGTGAGGGGGCTGTGCTTGTTTGATGGAGAATGTTTGAGGGTTCCTGTGGCAGGGGAGATGGTGAAGATGATCCTTCGTTTGCTCTCGCTCTCGGGGTCAGAAAAGGTGGGGTCGGATGGAGGGTCTCCTCTGGCGTTTTCGGCAAACATTTTTTGAGTCTCTATGTACTGCAGTACCCCTCCCAAGCTCTGGGAGATGCCGTTCAACCTAGGGCTTGCGGAATGCTGGTGTGCAGGCGAGTTTTGTCCAGAATTCCGTGAGGACGATGTAAGCAAGGAAGGATGCTGCGGAGTAGAACTTCGAGACCCCGTGGAGTTGAACAAGCTTCCCGAACTGGATACATCCTCCATAGCTATACTGTCAGCAACCGGATTCAATGGGCCGGGGCTATTTGGAACAGTCCCGCCAATTGGTGCAGAGCCAGACATGTAAGAAAAACCTGTGCAATGAGGAATGAAGAAAATTAGATATAGCAATAACACTTAGACTTATATACCGCTTTACAGTGCTTTACAGTCCTCTCTAAACAGTTTACAGAGTCAAGCCTATTGCCCCCAACAATCTGGGTCCTCATTTTACCCACCTCGGAAGGATGGAAGGCTGAGTCAACCCTGAGCCTGGTGAGATTTGAACTACCAAATTGCAGTCAGCAGGCAGTCAGCAGAAGTAGCCTGCAATACTGCACTCTAACCACTGTGCCGCCGTGGCTCATATCAGGGGAATCGGTTAATTGTTTTAGCCAATCTTCACATTTTTGTTTATTTATTAAATATATATGCTGCCCATCTCTCCAATAAGGCAACTTTGGGCAGCTTAGAAATCATAGAAAAGATAAATAGAAAAGCAGTTAAAAATTTAAAACTATGGAATTTAAAAAAAATTAAACGATTTATACGAGTTATCTTGTAGGGGAGATGGGCGGCATAAAAAATTAATAAATAAAATAAATGCATATATGTTAATCTGTAAATTAAGATCTTCAACAGAGGTTCTTTACAGATATTCCTGGCATTAAGAGTGCCATTAGAGGCTAAATCCTGGAGAAATAGCTTTCGTCACGCTATTTACAATGAATATGAGGCATTCTCTCCAAAGTGGATCCACTGATCCCTCCAACCCTCTCAAACACACCTACTGTAAAAGCTGGAAAACAGCAGTGGGAAAGGAAGGAGCTCACCTGAGGTAGCCAAGGTCAGTGGCTTGTTACCAGCAGCAGTGCTAATGCTGTTATGAGAACTAGCACCAAATTGTTTTTCAAGTGTTGAAAAGGAATCTCGGTTCTGATGGACAGGGCTAGGTGTGCTTCTCTGAAAGAAGAAAGAGAGAAAAAGAAGACGGTTGGAAAAGGAAGCATAATAAAATTAACTTTGGTTAAAACAAGTACTTTTTAAAATTACTACGCTCGTGTAAGCTTAGACTGCTGGTAGGTAGTAGTTGGAAAGAAAGTAAAACAGTTACATTCAGAACTCTGTTCTTCCAGGAGGAACTATTTCTCTCTGCAGAGAACAGCAGCAGTTTTAAACCACGTCAAACTATTTATCCATCCCATTGTCTACTCTGCTTAGCAGTCATTCTCTGCCCCATCACCCGTGACCTAACATTCTAGCCCACAGATTATATGTGGTCACATCTTTTTTTTCAAAGCCCTCAAAGACCCCTCTAACTATGATGGCCACAAACTAATGGCATGGCTTCCCGTCAGGCTGAGGCTGCGCACAAATAAATGCTAGAGCGGGGGTGTCAAACTCGATTTCATTGAGGGCCGCATCAGGATTGTGTTTGACCTTGGGTGGGCCGGGTTGCGCATTGCCAGATCGACATCATTCCTGTCAGGGGTGCCTGTGGTGGCCCGAGTGTTCTGCCAGCGAAAACGGGCTCCCGAGCTCCATTTTTGGCTGCCCTGGCCTTTTGCAACCCTCTGCCAGTGAAAACGGAGCTCGGGAAGGCCCGGGAGCCCGTTTTCGCTGACAGAATCACCACAGGCCAGTCCTTCACTGTTTCCAGAGCAGCTCCACAGGCCAGATCTAAGTACCCCGAGGGCTGGATCCGGCCTTGAGTTTGACACCCCTAAGCTAGAGTGTCAGGCCTTAATAGCAATGACATAATTTAAGAAGCAAAAGAGTGCATCCAAACTGTGAAAAAAACCATGCAAAAATCAGGCTCTGGCCATATGCGTGATGCAGTGCGCTCGCTATAAAGCATTGCTCCATGCGCTTCTGCCCTCAGTCTCTGCAAAAAATTTAAGTGCAATCCAGAGCCTTTAAAGGATTGGCTATCCTCATCCTAGCCACTGAAGTCAGGACTGAACCTGGGATATGCAAAATTTGTGCTCAGTCATTCAGCTACAGCTGTTTTATCTAGGAGAGACAATATTCTACACAATCCATATCACCCACAGGGTTATATTGTGATTGACACACCAAGTATTTAAACTAGCCTTTATTCAAATAGTTACTTTATTCAAATAGTTATTTTTTAACAGCTTGACAACTTCAACAACAAAACTAGAACAAAGCTGTTCAAAGTAGCTTAAGCACTGAACACAGATTTAACAACCTTCTCTTATAGCACATGTATAGAAAGCAAATAGATATATTGGATAAATGAAAAATATAAGAGCGATTTAAAATAAGAAAAAACGTGTAATTTCTTAGGAATCAGTTATCATGTATCAAATTTAAGAATATTTTCGAAGTGGTTTAGTAAATTCAGTTAAGAGGCAGCAATAAACAGAACTATATAGCAATAGCAATAGCACTTAGACTTACCGTATTTTTCGTAGTATAAGATGCACATTCCCCCCCCCAAAAGGGAGTGAAAATTTAGGTGCGTCTTATACACCGAATGTAGCCCCACCCACCCACTGGCCCCCACCCTTTGGCCTCTGCCCCCCAGCAGTTACCTCCTTGCAAGCAAACAGCAAGAAAAAACAGCTCCTTTCAGCTTCAGCACATCCTAATTAGCACAAGTTGATTGGATCAGCCTCCCGACTCTCAGCTGATTTGTTCTCAGCTGTTTTCCGCAGGGCTCTGCTGCTCGCTGCAAAGAGGTAAATTGCTGGAGCAGATTTTTTTCCCCCTTGTGCTAATCAAGCTATGCTGAAAACGAAAATGAAAGTAAAGCAGGCTGTTTGCTCCAACGAGGCAAAATTGCTCAGAGGCAGAGAGAGATTTCTTTTTCTTCTTTTCCTCACCAAAAAAGGTAGGTGCGTCTTATACTCCAGTGCGTTTTATATTCCGAAAAATATGGTATATACCACTTCATAGTGCTTTATGCACTATGCTGAAGTAACCTGCAGTGCTGCACTCTAACCTTATGGTCTAATGGTTAAGGCACCGATCTAGAAACTGGGAGACTGTGAGTTCTAGTTCCACCTTAGGGATGAGAGAGGCTGCATGACTTTGGGCCAGTTGCTCTCTCTTAGCCCAACCCATTACATAAGACAGTTGTGGGGAAAATAGGAGGGGAAAGCAATATTAGGTATATTTGCCGCCTTGGTTTATTTGTACAAATAATAAAAGCGGGATAAAAATAGATAAATAAAGTACCCGAGGGAAGCATGTCCATTACCTTGCATCGCACTTAATGCTATAAATTCATTGTAATATGGTACAATTGGCTTTACGGCAAGGATTATGGGGGAAAACAAAGTACCCCTACTCACCACCTTCTCAACACGGCTAGGAAGGACTACGCTGGCCAAAGGAATACTAACAGGGAGTTTATTGGGCTGCACTGTGCTGAGGGGGATACTGATGGGAAGGCTGGTGATGGTCTCCCCATTATTCGCAGACGTCCTCTCGCGCAAAGCCTGCAAACACACAAAGCAGACAATGCCAAAAATGCAGCTTGCATCATCAGCCAGTGCTTCTGGGCCATGGCTGTCGGCCCAAATACTTGGTGCAAGGAGGCGTCCTGAAGAATTGCAAGCATTTCCCCACCCGTCAAACGAACAAAAAAAAAACCAAAAAAAAAAAAACCAACAACGTTCTTACAGATGCAGACAAAGTCAATTGCATCAGCCAGCCAACATAGACACACACACATACCACACAAACAGTTCATGTTTTACTTAATGATCTAATAGGGAAATATAACCGCAATGGTGTCGCTCGCCCAACTAAAACACTTACCGCGCCAAGTATTTATACTTAGCAGCTGTGTTTGGGATTGCTATGGTGCATGAGGAAATATTTCCATAACCTTGTGTCACTATGGCAAAGTATATATAGCAAATTTACAGCCAAGTCATATTGCACAATAGATGGTTGGCCTCTTCTCCAAATGTATGCCCTTCAGTTGGGATCACAACCCATTGGCTTATGATACCAACTGGGAATAACAAAATTGCAGTTCTAATGTCTCTAGAGCAGTGGTTCTCAACCTTCCTAATGCTGCGACCCTTTAATACAGTTCCTCATGTTGTGGTGACCCCCAACCATAAAATTATTCCTAAAATCATTGATAATACGTGTTTTCCGATGGTCTTAGGCGACCCCTGTGAAAAGGTCATTCGACCCCCAAAGGGGTCCCGACCCACAGGTTGAGAACCACTGCTCTAGAGGGATCCAGGCTGTAGAAGTCTGAGCAAGCTATTACTGATTGCCGATTTAATATTAATATATTAATATTAACATTAACAAAAGCAACAACAATTCATCGTACATCTTAAGAACGTACTTGGTTGATACCTACCCTGTTTCCCCCAAAATAAGACATCCCCTGATAATAAGCCCAATCGGGCTTTTGAGCGCATGGCAATAAGGCCAAGCACTTATTTCAGGGTTCAAAAACATATAAGACAGGGTCTTATTTTCAGGGAAACAAGGTAGGACGCTGGCAGCAACCCGTATCAACCATTAGCACCAGTCAATGGTATTTGTGATACATTTTTGAATGTTCAGTTGACTGAGTTTCATGTTTAATGAGTAAAGTATATAATAATAACACATATACAGCGCAGAATACTATTCTAGCTTTGATCAGGACAGAAAGAGTGAGAACGTAAGTCTGAGGAATACTCTCTACTTTCCTTGGTTACTTTAGACATAAGGTTTGTCTATGTGCACATACAGGGTATAAATACAGGTAGCCCTCGATTTACGACCACAACTAAGCCCTAACTTTCTATTGTTAAGTGAGACATTTGTTAAGTGAGTTTTGCCCCTTTTTACGAACTTTATTGCCTCAGTTGTTAAGTGAATCACTGCAGTTGATAAGTTAGTAACCTGGTTGTTAGGTGAATGTGACTTCTCCATGGACTTTGCTTGTCAGAAGGTTGCAAAAAGTCACTAAACTAACTGTTGCAAGTTGAGGACTATCTGTCTCTTTGAAAATGATTTGCTCCTTCTGCAGATACAAGCACAGCACCCCTTTTCTGCTTATTAAAGTAGTCCAACTATTTTTTTGTGTTTGATTTTTGTGCAAGCCTGAAAAAAAGGTGCTAACTTTTATATTTGGACTTTTAGGAATTTTGTGGTGCACTTTGCAATTTAAAAAAAAATGAGTATAGTGTAACATACAAAAAATGATTCTTGAGAATGCACTATTACAAAAAATAATTTGCAAAACTCTAATAGGGTATAGCATGCATTTTAAAAATGCAAACAGAAGATTTGCCAAGCAATAAGAAAGCATGAGAGGACAAAATTATAGTCTAAAACAAAGAAGTCATTAGAGTTAGAAAAGAGCAATTCTTTTAGGTCTATCTATGATTGCCAGACCATCTTATTTACCTCTTGAAAAACCTATATGTGGGTCAAGAAGCAACAGTGAGAACTGGACACGGAACCACTGATTGGTTCAAAATTGGGAAAGGAGTCCAGCAAAGCTGTATACTGTCGTCCTGCCTATTTAACTTATATGCAGAGCACATCATGAGAAAGGCGGGGCTAGATGAATCAAAAGTTGGAATTAAGATTGCGGGGAGAAATATCAACAACCTCAGATATGCAGATGATATCACTCTAATGGCAGAAAGCGAAGAGGAAATAAAGAGCCTCTTGATGCAGGTAAAGAAGGAGAGTGCAAAAGTTGGCTTGAAACTCAACATTAAGAAAACTAAGATCATAGCATCCGGCCTTCTCAATTCCTGGCAAATAGATGGGGAAGAAATGGAGGTAGTGACAGATTTTATTTTCCTGGGCTCCAAGATCACCGTAGATGGGGACTGCAGCCAAGAAATTAAAAGACACTTGATCCTGGGGAGGAAAACTATGGCAAATCTAGACAGCATACTAATGAGAAGGAAGGACTCACTAGAGAAGAGCCTAATGCTGGGAAAGATTGAAGGCAAAAGAAGAAGGGGACGACAGAGAATGAGGTGGCTGGATGGAGTCACTGAAGCAGTAGGTGTGAGTTTACATGGACTCCATAGGATGGTAGAGGACAGGAAGGCCTGGAGGAACGTTGTCCATGGGGTCGCGATGGGTCGGACATGACTTCGCAACTGACAACAACATGATTGCCTGCATAACCAGACCCTACAATGGAAGGGCAAACTTAGTTTTAAGGGAATTCAGATTGCCATTGATGTGAATTATGGTCAAGAAAATGGTATTCATTTCATGTTGTAATCGCACAGCCACTTGATAGCAAGATAGGTGGCATATAAATTCAACAAACAAACAAACAAATTATTCTAGAATGGTGAACTTATAGCCCAAACAACTGTCACATGTTACAGCTTGCAAGTGAAGGATGCTGAGAGTTATAATTCATCAACTAATGGAGGAATTGGTTCCTAAATAAAAGGAAACCATGGAAGGGAAGAAATGGGAACTAGACCTGGTCTCATGCTGCCCATCACACAGCTGTGCTTTGGAGTTCATGAATTTATCTGCACCTGTTTCTTCAACAGTGCATCTGATTTAAATAGTTATGCCATCATGTTTACTTTAATTTGCAAACAAATTATGCCTCATTTTTTAATCAAGCCTGATTACAATTTGGTGCTCGGTTACGAAGCCCATTTAAACTTGAAGGAGATGCAAAACAAGATATATTCTCTTCCTCTTCCACACCTCAAGAATAGGCATTGTGTAGGGTCGTAAAACATGATTAAGCAGCAGACAAACGTATTTCACATTAGGGATTTTAAATATTGGGACTTTAACCTGAGCTTTTTTTTAGTCCAGCAGTACAACATTTTTTTCTCTATCTCATTTTGGCTAGAAAAAATACTGATCAGACTTGCACACAATTCTATAAGTAATCCTGGTTTAACAAAGTATCATAAACTAATAGCGTGCTTGTTAGACACAGTCTATTTGGTCCCACATTGTTATCTAAACCTGAGATTATTAATATAATTAAATCATAATTACAAAATTTTAGTTGAGATCAATGTATCATAATCCCAGGTTAAGACGTGATTCAAGATTTCTCCTTTTTGATTGCTACTCCCTCCAATACTTGTTTATTTACTACAATAGCAAATTGTTACGGTACTTGCATCAATGCACTGTTCATAATCTGATTTTTTTCGAATTGAGTGTTATGGATAAATACAGAAGTAACTGTATTTGTGTTGGTTCAAAATGCTACAGGTAATCCTCAATTTACGACTATAATGGAACCTTCCCATTATGGTCGTAAATCACGACGGTGGTAAAGTGGAATGACCTATGTGACCGATCCTTATGACAGTCATTAAGCAAATGCAGTAGTCGTAAAGCAAACCATTATTCTCTATGGAGTGTTTTTGTGAAAAATGCAGTTACATGTCTGTGGGATACTGCAAAGGCCATAAATGCAGGCCAGCTGCTGAATGTCTGACATGCATTCCTGTGACTGTGGCAAAGAGGCTGTCAGGACTATGGAACCGGGTCGTAAGTACCTTATTGGGAGTCCATTCTAACTTCAAATGGTCCTAAGCAATTGGTCATAAATCAAAGACTACCTGTATTTCGTTTTTCTACTCAGCAATTTTTTTCTGCACCCCCCTAAGTGCACCTCAGTGATGTTAATTTTCAACCTTTAGCATGCTCTCCATTTACACCAAGAGTTCCCACTCAGTCGCTGCTGCTCGGTACAAGAACTGCCCCCGAAAGGTTCAGCGGCATCGTCCAAAAATCTCTTACCTTCTCATTCCCAGCTGGGAAGGCTGCTGGGGAGGAGGGTCTGGCTTCCAGAGGGCTCATCTTCATGCTGTTTGATACTGAAGGGCTTTGAAATGGAAGGCCATTTTCTTTTAAATGTTCAGCCCTGAAACATTAAAAAAACAAAGCTTTTGAACGTTTTTGCTTGGTTAAAAAGAAAGATTTTTTGCGGTGCATCCTATAGCGAAAAAGAAATGCAGAGGAAGCCCCTCTTCCATATGTCAGAAAGAAAGGTTTCTGATAGCTTGGTTCTCTTCAAAAAGGCCAGTCTTATACATCTTAACAGCTTAATGGATTTCTAAGGGAAGAAGTGGTGCATTAGATAGTATTTGATGCATCAGATAGAATTATTATGCCCTTTGAAAACTGAAAAGACATTGCAGGCTCCATCCTAGACAAACTGTTATCTATGCACAAAATGGTTGCTAAGGAAGAGATGGGTGGAGGGGGGAAATGTAGTTTCAAAGACCACTATCTGCCACCTTCTTCCATCTCTTCCATCCACAGAATGCTTTCTGCTTCTTCTATTGACTGAACGATGCAGCTTTCCTCTAAACACAGAGGCGTTCTTGATAAAAATGAGCCTGGAGGATAATTTAATTTAATTTAATTAATTCAATTTATATGCCGCCTTTCTCCGAAGACTCAGGGCGGCTGATAGTGCTCTGATTTGCAGCATGTCAATTTCCCACGTACTTTCAGAGTTTCCCCATTCAGGATTCAACTAAAGGTAGCAGCCACAAACAGACTATCCATTCTCCATGGCTATCCAGAGTGCCATAGTTACCACGAAGGTAACTTCCAATCCTAGAGAATATATATCCGTGATGGCAAACCTATGGCATGCGTGCCAGAGGTGGCACACAGTGCCCTCTCTGATGGCACGTGAGCCATTGCCCCAGTTCAGCTCCGCTGTGCATGTGTGCGCACCTCCCGCTGGCCAGCTGGTCTTCAGGTGTCTGCTGCGTATGCGGGGGGCACGTGCATGCACGGAGCGCATGAGTGGACCATGCGTGCATGCTCTGGGGTGAGGCATGCAGTGGTGCACACGCAGGAAGCCATGTGTGCATGTGGGGGGGGCAGTGCGCACATGTGGGGCTGCACACATATTGCATGTTGGGGGGTTGGGGCACGCGCACATTCGCACACGCGCACGCTTTGGGCACTAGGTCCGGAAAAGGTTAGCCATCACTGCTATACATGGTTCATGGCTGTAGTAACAGATGCAACAGATTAACAGAGTTAGAAGGGACCTTATAGGTCATCTAGTCCAACCCTTCCATTCAAGCAGGAGACCTTACACCATTTCTGACAAATGGCTGTCCAATCTTTTCTTGAAAGTCTCAAGTGATGAAGCTCCCACAACTTCCAAAGGCAACTTCTATTCCATTGGTTGATTGTTCTCACTGTCAGAAAGTTCCTCCTCATTTCTAGGTTGAATCTCTCCTTGGTCAGTTTCCATCCATTATTCCTTGTCTGGCCTTCAGGTGCTTCGGAGAATAGCTTGACTCCCTCCTCTCTGTGGCAGCCCCTCAAGTATTGGAAGACTGCTATCATGTCTCCCCTGGTCCTTCTCTTCACTAGACTAGCCATGCCCAGTTCTTGCAACCATTCATTATATGTTTTATCCTCCAGTCCCCTAAGTGTAATGGTTAAAGTGCGGGTTAGAAACCATGAGACTGGGAGTTCTAGTTTCATTTTAAGACAGGAAAGCTGGGTGACCATGGACCTGTCACTCTCTCTCAGCCCAACTCACCTCATGGGGTTGTTGATGTGGGGGAAAATAGGAGGGGAAAGTAGTATGTTCATTGCCCTGAGTTTCTTATAAAGTAATAAAGGCAGAATCTTGCTTCTCTGGGCTTATTTATTTATTTTTATAAATAAATAAAACCCTGCTTTGGCTGTTTTTCTGCAGATGTTTCAGTACCACTAACATGATCACTGCACGGGAAAGCAAAGTTTACCAGTTGTTTATATACAGTAATTTGCACCTACCTTTATACATGAAAGACAGGAAGGTACAACATCACTGAAAAAAGTGAGTTATGACTATTTTTCACACTTACAACCATTGCAGCATCCCCATGGTCACATGATCAAAATTTAGACGCTTGGCAACTGACTCACATTTATGACGATTGCAGTGTCCTGGGGTCATGTGATCCCTTTTTGCAACCTTCTGACAAGCAAAGATAGTGGGGAAGCCAGATTCACTTAGCAACCATGTTACTAACATAACAACTGCAGTGATTCACTTAACTACTGTGACAAGAAAGATCGTAAAATGGGGCAAAATTCACCTAACAACTGTTTCTGCTTAGCAACAGAAATTTTGGGCTCAATTGTGGTCATAAGTCGAGGACTACCTCCAGTGAGAATTCCCTCAAGGTTACCACCAAAGGGGGGGAAAAACACATGACTGAACCACTCTACTCCTCACCTCTGATGGTTCTCACTGGGTGCTGTTTTCCCACTGCCTATGTGGTCTTGGTTCAAATGCCTCCGGAGGGCGATCTTAGCTGGAGAAAACCTGGTATAATCTGGCAGGGATAAGTTTGAGCCTTTGTCCAGCTTCTGTCTGCAGCTATGGATCGGGGTGCAAGGAATTACGTCTTGGTCCACATGGACAGGTGGATATTGAGGAGTTGTCTGCTTAGAAGCTGGTCGGCTGAGTGCATTGTGAATTTCGTAAGATGTGGCATGGCCGTTTATGGACAGTTCGGGACTCATGCCATTGATCTGGGGCACAGGAAACTTGGGGCACTCTAGCTCCAGGTGAAGCGTGTTGTGGTCAGGCTCTGCCTCCCGGTTCAGGTGGGTTTTGTGGCGTGGCTGGGCTGGCAGCGATTCGTCAGAGGGCATGTAGGATTTCAACTGCAGGAGTTCCTGCTGCCTTTGGCTTTTCTCAAGCTCCACAATGCTGATCTTTAAAATGATAGGAGAGAGAAGAACATCATTAAAGGTTATTATGTCTGTGGACATTCTCAATCATCCAGGTCAAGGTTGTCCCAAAGGGGCTTTTCCAAAAGGCAATAGGACTTTCTTGGTTTTTTTTTTCCCCTTGAAAGCTTTTCGCTTCTCATCCAAGAAGCTTCTTCAGTTCTGAATGGTGAGGAATAGAAGGACAGGCCTTCAGGGTAGATGACTGCAAAGAATATAAATCCTTCTATTCCCCCACCATTCAGTCAGAACTGAAGAAACCTCTTGGATGAGAAAAGAAATGTTTTTAAGAAAAAACCCAAGAAAGTCTAGTTGACCTTTAAAAAGCACCTTTGGGATTATTATATTTTAGGAATAACAGTTCCTTCACAATTTTCAATGCTGAAGCTCCTTTGACTCTTCTAAGAACCCAACAAACCTTTACTCACTTTCTTCCATTTAGGAAAGTAAACCATGCTGTGGAAGCAAGCTCCTTGCTCAATAGCCTGCCCTATTTTGCCTGAACTGCTCCATTCATTGTAACCCCCTCTGAAGATAAGGAATTAGTCATGTGAAGCACCTGGTCACCTACCAGACCATCAAGGAACACAGCTGAATCCATTGCCAAGTTGTTGTTTTTTAAAAGGCAACATTAGAAGTCAATTCTAACAAAAGGTATTAATTACATCCTGGCCATACGCTACCTGCAATTCCAAGCAGTGCTTTTGCTTCTCAGAAATCTGATTTTTTAATGCTTGCTTTTCTTTGAGAAGGTTTTCCAGTGAAAGTGTTGACCAGTCCAACTTTAGTTCTTCACATCTAGCTTTCAGCTGGAAGGAGGCAGAAAAAGAACAGGGAGATATATTATTTGGAGAATGTTATATTATACAGTCAAAACTAACCCTTCATGCCATAAAAAAATCTAAGTTATATTTCTGCTCTTGATATAAAATATTACGTATCCCACATTTGATTATCAGTTCCAGTCTAGATGTCTATGGAGATTCTCAGATTCATAGCAGGCACCACCAGAATTAGGGACAAATATGTTCCCTTTTTCATGGATCTAGGCAAACTGTCAGTTCAACCAGGATGTACAGGAAGTTCTTGACTCACGATACATTGTAATGTGCATTGTGAAGCTAGTCCTTGACTTATGACCACAATTGAGCCCAACATTTCTGTTGCAAAGTGAGACAGTTGTTTGGTGAATCATTGCAGTTGTTAAATTAATAACATGGTTGTTAATTGAATATGGCTTCTCCACTGATTTTAAATGTCTAGGGAGATTCTCAGTCATCCAGGTCACGGTTGTCCCAAAGGTGCTTTTTTCAAGAGGCAACTAGACTTTGTTTTTCTTTGAAGTCGTTTTGCTTCTCATTCAAGAAGCTTCTTCAGCTCTGACTGGAATCTGAATCCTTCCATTCCCCACCATCCAGTCAGAGCTGAAGAAGCTTTTTGGATGAAAAGCGAAACGTCTTCAAAGAAAAACCCGAAAGTCCAGTTGCCTCCTGGAAAAAAAAAGCACCTTTGGGACAGTTCTAGTCTACCTTCTTCTGTCTGGCCATCTTAGGTGGAGTCTGCTGGATAAGACACCAATAACGGAAAAATTCTAAGAACTTCACACTTTTAAAGCACTGACTACAGCTCATCTAGCTAAAAATAGTCCAGCTACAGATTTTTGCTCACACCTACGTACAAAGTTTCACATTAGCCTGTTACATCTAACCCACCATAGTCTGTCTTCAACTGGATGCAAGTCTCCATGTTCCTGGGACCTCCTAAATGCAAAGCCTAGTTTTTAACCACTAATCCCCCGGTCATTTCACAATCTTACAGTTTTTGGAATAGAGGCCCATGGAAGATGACAATCTTAAATGAACATTAAAGGCAAAAGTGGAATTTGTGATTGATTTCAAAACAAGGTAAAACGGTGGCCTGATGCATCTAGGAATACGAACCAGCTGTAAACTCTGATTCCTGAGTTCACCATTATCTTTCTCCAGCTGTTTGGTCTGTTCTTTCAGCTGCTGGTTGTGAGCAGAAATTTCTTTCTGGGCCTGGATAAGGTCATTGTACGTCAGTGCCTTAACACCCAGCTACAAAGGAAAAGGAAGAGGATAGAACAGTTAGGATCACTATTTTTCCAAGCAACAAAAAGGCAATGGTTTTGTTGAATATTAGAAACCCTGTCAGCTTTGTCAGCTTTTTCTCAAATTATTTTTAAAACTTGTAATAGGAACAGATTATCACATGATTTGACATACAGTACAATTGAACTAATATTAAGGATCGGAAGAACTACAAGCATTCTATCATTGCTTTATTCTCCAAAGAACTTACCTCTTTTAGTTAAGCCATTACTGTAAATCAGGGGTGTCAAACTCAAGGCCCAGCCCCACGGTTTGCTTAAATCTGGCCCATGGGGCTGGCCTGGAAATAGCAAAGAATTGGCCCACGGTGCCTCTGGCGGGCAGAGTACTGCAGGAGGCTGTCCGTCCCGTCTCCCTCCCCCATACCCCCAGGAGGAGGAGAACTACAATGTTGATCAGGTCCTCAAAAAAATCCAGTTTGACACCCCTGCTGTAAATGGTTACTAATATACTCTATTCTTTTAATGATATGTTCCTAGTATTTGCTGATTTTAAAAGACTGGTACTGATATTTGAAACTGTATACATTGTAAGTTATTTTGAATTATATACTTGAAAGGTATTCAAAACCATAACTTTTGATCAGCATTTGTTAGGTGATTCCTTAGATTAGAATCAAGTGAGTTGCAATTATTATGTACTATTCAGCTTGGTGCAGTGGCTAAAAGCACCATTCTAGAAATCAGGGGACTTGAGTTCTAGGCACAAAGCCATTTGGATGACTTCAGGCTACTTCAGTCCTAGAAGAAGGCAACAACAAACCACTTTCAAACATTTGCCAAAGGAAACCGAAGGACATGTCCAGGCATTCGCCAGGAGTCAAGACTGACTCACAGGCACCAACAAAACAAAAAGAAACAAAGATTATGTTTACACTGCAATAAAATATATAGGGCAATTAATATAGTGTTTTGGTATGTATGTTTGTGTACTACCGTATTAAGAACTGTTCTTGATTTGTTTTTTATTTTATTCAGAACAAAGTTTGATGTTATGCATTGATCTCACTTCCCCTATTAGAAATACATTGGACTAAATCACTGGAAAAGCACCATACAAATTAAAAGAAATCTATCAGAAACTGAGTGATTCCTCAAAGCTATACTCAGTGAAGTCTTAAACGTACTTCACATCCACCTCAGGTACCAACTAATTTTCATGATTTAAATTTTAGTCCACCATTATAAGTGTATATTAGACACTTGATTATGTTATTAATGAAAAAAAAAAACCCATGTCCCTTTGGCCTATTCTAAAAAATGTCAAATTCATTACATCCTTCATTTTCAGATTTGGACCAATTCCCAGCTAGGAATCTACCAACTCTGCCTTTCTTCTTGGCTGGGGTGCAATTCAAGCTACCTTACAATCTGCAGCATCAAAGACCTTTCCCTTTTGCCCCTACAATCTGTACAGTAGCCCACTCCTCACTGTACCTCATCTAGCTTCTGCTGGAACAGTCGTTTGATTTCTTCTTTCTGAGCTTGGCAGTGAGTAAACAACTGCCGAGCCTTTCCCATTAACTGAGTATTCTTTTCCTAGGGAACAAAAAAGGGAAGGAAACGCCAATACTTCAGAAAAGTAAATATGTCATTCCTTGAAATGTGACATAACAGTGTTACAGGCATATAGATACTATAGGCTGAGAAGGATTGGAGGGAGACAAATGTAATAAGATCAGGATCTTAGAAGCAGAATTGAAAAGGACCTTAAGAGATCAACCTTCTAGACTCAATTAGAAGATTGATTCTGGAGTGACCTGATTCTATTGGCAATTAATTGGCAGTCCTTTAAAAAACAGTCTAATGTCAGAACTGCCATCCTTCACTCAAATCTGTGCTTTGCTGGATGTCAGTCTGCCATACATTATAGGGGGAGGGAGATAGAGGGAGGTGGGGGGGGATGGGAACAGGGAGAATCTGAGAAGAGGACCTGGGAAATCAAAAGCAATATTTGTACAGTCCCGAGACATCTCAAGGCCGGAGCCCTGGGAATGGAATGCAGCACCTATCCATCTAACCAACCACAGAGGGGACAGTTACCAAGACATCTTAATAGAATAGAATAGAATAGAATAGAATAGAATAGAATAGAATAGAATAGAATAGAATAGAATAGAATAGAACAGAACAGAACAGAACAGAACAGAACAGAACAGAACAGAACAGTATTCCTTATTGGCCAAGTGTGATTGGACACAAAGGAATTTGCCTTCGGTGCATAAGGTCTCAGTGTACATACAAGCAACAAGTAATAAATCATGATCATAGTCATCATAAATCTTCTCTGAATGTGACTGGACAGTGGGTGTGGTAACAGGAGGGTGGGACAAGAAAGGGAAAGTTAACTAGAGGAATTTTCCCACTCAAACTCTTAGTCCTGGCTTTGCTTACTGTAACCACTTGGCTTTAGTAAAAGTAATCTTTTCACTACAAATGGAGTCAAGAGTGTTTCTTTCCTAAGGGACCAAGTTGGGCCAGGTCTGACACCTACCTTTTCCTGTTCCAATAACTGCTGAAGAGTTGCCTTATATTGATTTGTTTTCATATAAGCCATGAACTGCATATACTGGATCTTAAAAGAGTCTGTAAGTGAAGGAGACAGAAACAAACCAACATGAACAGCCTGAGAGCAGTATTCGTACATCAATCTTTTGTACAACTTCAGCTTGTTGCATCTAAATTAGGAATGCACAAATACTAAAATCTATTCCTGGATTACTTAAAACTTCATACATTCCAGCTCTTTACTTTAAAAGAATATTTTCATGCTACTCTTATTAATCATGTGAGAATCAGAAATTCTCAACAATCTCCTGCTAGTCATTCTGTAATCGATTAGTAGATCTAAATAAGCCATCTGTTGACTTCTGGCCCTTTCTCTTCCTCCTTGTATTAAAAATAAACCTTATTTATCCACAGAGACTCTAGTGAGAGAACTTGTTTTTCTACTGCTTTGTCTGGCAACTCCCAAGAGGTAGGCTGAAAGATACTTTTCATATTCTGAGTTTATCTGGAATAGGAGATAGGAAACAGAGATATGTATGTACTTTCAGTATTTTGGGATATGGTTATCATGAATCTTAAAACACCCTGCTTTGCAGTGGAGATACTAAGAATCTGATTCGAATCCAGTGTTAAAATCCAATCTACAATAATGCAGCAAGGATTGATAACTCCTAATAACAAAATTTTAAAAATGGCTTCAGTAAATTAAAACAAAGAAAACCAGAGTGGAGAGAAAGAAAAAGTATTATTTAAAAAAAACAGAATTCAAATTTTGTATGAAAGAAATGTACATTCAGTTCAGGAAATACATTCCGAGACGGGATTTAAGAGGAACCTTGTCCTTTTATTCCACAACTGAAGCTGTTTTCCTTCAGAACTTCAGATGTCTACTATTGAATCTGCCAAATAATTTTCCATCATTCTCCTGCAGGCAGACTTCACATCTCTATTTCAGATTATCTTCAACCACTCTTTCATCCCAATAGTTAAGAAGAAAATACGCAGGTTATTTTTTTATAGGTTGTGATGGAGATATGCAAGTGCATGAATTCACCCACATGGGAAGGGGGATCTGAAGCTTAGGTGAATCCTCAGAAAGTCTGGCAGGGGTCATAAAGATTTTTTAAAAAAAAAAATAATCAAAACTGTGAGCGAGATCAGAGCACAGACCCTTCTATACCTTCAGCAGATGCTGTGTCAAGAAATATGAACTGCTCAACAAAATGGGAGATATGCCCTTACCTAGCAGCTTCTGTAGTGCAGGTGGAGTAGGAGTAATCAAGAGCTGGTTGGACGAATGCCGCTGCACTTTAGGAGGTAGCTGGTAAAATGGACTATGAGGTGACCTGTAGGCATCTGGATGGAAAGAGAACATGGGTCCATTAAGCTTCTTTCTATTGGAAGGAGTCCATTTGGCCAGCCTGGGATTAGACGTTCATCATTCCCCTTTGATAAAATTATTGGCCTGCGACACAATTTCCCCCAGTGTAGTTTAAAAGTAGTTCATAGTTTTAAAAATACGTTACAGGTGGTCCCCAACTTACGACCACAATTGAGTCCAAAATTTCCGTTGCTAAGACAGTTGTTAAGTGACTTGTGCCCCATTTTATGGCTTTTTTGTCCACAGTTGTTAAGTGAATCACTGAAGTTGTTAAGCGAATCACTGCAGTTTGTTAAGTGAATCCAGCTTCACCTTTTGGCTTTGCTTGTTGGAAGCCGGTTGGGAAGGTCACAAATGGTGATCACATGACCTCAGGGTAGGGCAACTGTCATAAATACATGCCAATTGCCAACTGCCCAAATTTTATAGGTTGTGGGATGCCTCAATGGTCGTGAATGTGAAAAATGGTCATAAGCCACTTTTCTCAGTGCCCTTGTAACTTTGAACAGTCACTAAACGAATGGTTGTAAGTCGAGGACTACCTGTACTGTAACTAACAAAATCATAAATGAAAGCTACATCCAATCGCAGCAAGATCAAAACCGATCAAGGGTGGCAATCTCAGTAGATCGGTCCTCACCCATCTATACTCAATTGGACAAGCCTTTATAAATTTCACAGTCAATTCAAATATACCACTGAGGTCAAGTTTAACACATGGGCCTGACTGCTTCACTACCAGCAACCAAATTTCAAACTAACAGTTACTTCAAATTCAGGAAGAACATCTGAAGAAAAATAAATGCTACTGGTTCTTAGCACCGGTACATGTTTTAACTAAACTCCATTCAGTATGCTAGTTTCCCATGTGGAAGTCTTCACACCAATGGACCATATACCCATTTCTCTTGCAAAATAAGATTATTGATAAAGGACCTAAGATCGTCTCACATTATGAAATTGTGTTCCTATAAGGGGGTGTCTGTTCAGATTCTCAGTCATCCAGGTCATAGTTGTCCCAAAGGTCCTTTTTCAGGAGTCAATTGCACTTTGTTTTTTCTTTTGAAGACGTTTTGCTTCTCATCCAAGAAGCTTCTTCAGCTCTTCCATTCCCCACTATCCTGTCAGAGCTGAAGAAGCTTCTTGGATGAGAAGCGAAACGTCTTCAAAAGAAAAAACAAGGAAGTCCAGTTGCCTCCTGAAAAAGCACCTTTGGGACTATAAGGGGATGATGCTGCACAGTAGCTTTGGGTCAGATGGCTTTAATCAATGTTTCTCAACCTCACTAACTTTTAACTGTATGGACTTCAACCATGGCTGGCTGGGGAATTCTGGGAGCTGAAGTCCGCATAGTTAAAAAGTTGCTGAGGTTGAGAAGCACCGGCCTAAACTGACACAAAAGAAGACCTTTTCTGAGGGGATTGGCATTCCCCAGCTGTAGGGCTCACCCTGAGGAGAGGATGAATTTGTTTGTGATACAGTTTGAGCGTGGAGAATCTCCAGCGCGGTTTGGTTCTTCTTGATCTTGCGGTCGGCATTCACCACGTTCATTTTCTTGGGGCGCCCACGCTTCCTACCAGCCATCTTCCTTCCCTTTTTGCTCAGCTTCTTCTTGCGTGCTTTGGAGGGAGATGGCTTTTTGACAGTGTTGGCCCCGAGGTTCTTGTCTTCTTCAGCACCATCGTCCTTTAAAGAGAAAAAAAAGACAGAAATAAGGAGGGAAAAGGCAACTTTGAGACAAGAAAAAAATGGTTCTTTCTTTCTCCTTATGGAGGATAGTCAAAAACAACATCCCAAATTCAGTCTTTCATAACGGTAGTCCTTGACTTATAACCATTCATTTAGTGACTTTTCGAAGAATAACACTGAAAAAAGGACTTATGACTGTTTTTCACACTTATGACTGTTGCAGCATCCCCAATGGTCACATGATCAAAATTCGGACATTTGGCATCTGGGTCATATTTATGACAGTTGCAGTGTCCTGGAGTCATGTGATCACCTTTTTGTGACCTTCTGACAAACAAAGTCTGTGGGGAAGCCAGACTTCCACTTAATAACCGTGCAGTGATTCCTCTAACAATTATGTCAAGGAAGGTCATAAAATGGAGCAAAACTTACTTAACAATTGTCTCAATTAGCAACAGAAATTTTGGGCTCAATTGTAGCCGTTAAGTCGAGAATTACCTGTACTCAGTGGTGAAATGCAGCCGGTTCTATCCGGCTTGGGCGAACAGGTAGTGCCGTCGGCGGGAGGCTCCGCCCACCCGCCCAGATGTCATCACATCCGTTTTTGACCCTCTGCGCATGCGCACAAGGCTCTGTGCGTGTGTGGGGGAGGCATGCGCAAGCGTAGCACGCGCTCTCTATGCTCGCGCGTGCACGCCACTCACATTTGTGAACCAGTAGCAAAGGTAAGTGGATTTCACCCCTGCCTATACTACCATCAAGCAGAACTATAAAAAATTCTTTCTGTAGGATACCTGAACAGTTGCCGTCAACCAGAGAAGGCCAGCTATGCTAGAAGAAAATAGCATATTAATAATTACCTCCCTGTATAAGCCTACTGTGCCATGGAAGGTTATTATAACCTCATCCCTGAGAGGGGTGTGGTTTTTGTTTTCAAAGTAATCTCTAAAGGAATCAGAGGTCACATAGACAATTCAATATATGGCTTAGAGTAAATTATCTATGAAACAGGGAACTGGATGGCTTGATCTTTAATACAGCCTCTGGATCCATTTGACTACAAATCAATAATACCCCAATCAATCCTAAGCCTTGCACTTCTGAAGAACGTATGTTTGGGGAATACTGCTCTAAAGACATGCATTATGATGTTAAGCTCCTCCATCCTCAATATTGTAATATAATAATCCCTCGAGCTTCAAATTGGCTGGCAGTCAGGGTGTGCTTGCCACAAATACAGATGGTCCTTGACTTACAACTGTTCATTCAACAACCTTTCAAAGTTACAATGGTGACTTACAATCGATCCTCGCACTTACGACCCTCACAGCATCCTATAGTCATTTGATCAAAATTCGGGTGCCACATGTATTTACAACAATTGAAGCATGCTGGGATCATGTGATCACCTTTTGCAACCTTCTCAGCTGTTTTCCGACACGCAGAGTTAATGTGGGAAGCTGGATTCATTTAACAACCATGTAATTCACTTAACAACTCCAGAGATTCACATTACAACAGTGACAAGAAAAGGTTGTAAAATTGGGTACAACCCACTTAACAAGTGCTTTGCTTAGCAACAGTCGCAACTGTGTTCATAAGTCAAGGACAACCTGTACTGACTTACTGTTCACCTCATCTATTCTGTCATCACATCTCTTCTGTCTCTTTCCAGAGCATCTTATCAACCAAGTCATTATTCTACTGTTGTAACTCTGGAAGAACTGCAATTTAACAGGAAGGCCTGCTATGCTAGGAAAAAGATCCCAGGAGACATTCCCCTGGATTCTTAGATCTGAAATCCTGAAGAGTATCATCATTCACTGTTAGCAACACAAAAATATCGCACACAAACTAAAGTAGATTTATCAAAATCAGCTCTCATGATTCCAGTTGGGATAGGAGCCTACTTCTAACAGAAAGCAGATGACACAACTAGCTATTAACTGAAATTTATCCACTGAAGTTTTGAGAAGAATCATTTGTATCTGTATCATTTACCCCTAATGGAGTTATTTCTGTAAAATTTTGTGTATGTGTTAGTGTGATTTATATAGATTATCAGCAGTGGTGGGATTCAAATTTTTTTACTACCGGTTCTCTGGGTGTGGCTTAGTGGGCATGGCGTGGCTTGGTGGACGTGGCAGGGGAAGGATACTGTAAAATCTCCATTCCCTCCCCACTCCAGGGGAAGGTTACTGCAAAATCCCCATTTCCTCCCGATCAGATGGGACTTGGGAGGCAGAGAATAGGTGGGGGCGGGGCCAGTCAGAGGTGGTATTTACCAGTTCTCCGAACTACTCAAAATTTCCGCTACCGTTTCTCCAGAACTGGTCAGAACCTGCTGAATACCACCTCTGATTATCAGTAAATAGTGACATGTAAGGAAGCCTTAATTAGAATCAGACCTTGTTTTCTTGGACTTTTGTTGGAGTTGTTGTATTACTCTTGTTTTCTCTTTGCTGTCGACGTCTAGCTGCCTCTTGTTCTTCCTGCGGAAAATAAAATAAAGGAAATAGTTGAATGGGTGAAATACCATACAGTCCCCAAGGTAACTGAGGAGGGCAAAGGCTCTAGATTAACCTCTTACTGTTATTCAAGCATCTTTAGAACAGAAAGTTGAATTAAATTGCAGTCTTGTGATCTGCCATCCAATATATTAGTCGCTAATTTTTATCCACTCTCTATTGAAAGTGACAGTGACAGCCCAGTACTTCTGAATCCAAAACATATTAGTATTGTTTAAGGAAATGAATACATCTGTATTCACCATGATGAGTTATATGCAAGTTATGTAAGTAATATTTTTCTATGTATTATTACTTTTAAAGATTTGTTCATCTTTCCTTCTAATTTTAAATTGAATGCTCATAATAGTAAAAATGTTATCTGCCAGGTACAGGTATTCAAAGCATGGCTAGTTCCATATTCTGCTGGTTTTTCTGTGCCATCCCAGAACTGTAACAGGCATACAAGTTGATGCAATTCTATGGACACAGAAAAGCTATGTCTACTTCATTATCTTACAGGAAAACAAAAGCTTCCAAAATCAGAAGGAGTAATATTTAATGCTTTCACTATTTTATTTTCTTCTTTGGAGGAACAAGGTTTGTTGACAAGAGCAATCACTTACCCTGAGTTTTGGATTTTTGAGACTAGAGAAGTAGTTTTCAAGCTAAAATAAAAAAAAAAATGAAAATGACAAATGGGCATCAGAAGAAACATTTAAGAGGTTTATAATGCATTTCACAAAGAGATAGAAAATAGTGGACAATGTACTTAGAAATTAAAAGCCTCCCATGCATATTTTTTCCAGCTTTCCAAAGAATACTTACATGGAAACAACATTAAAAATTCATACTGAGTCTTTTTTTTTTTTACTTATCCAATCATACCATCTATTCCATACCATATAGTATTTTGAGTCTACCTTGTCTTTTAACTCAAGTGTTAATTTATCCATTTCTGCACAATTGTAAATTTTCTGGATTACTAATTGATCCGTTGGCATTTGATCTGTTTTCCAATGTTGCGCTAGTGCCAATCTTGCTGCCGTAATTATATGTAATATTAAGTATTTTATTTCTCTCCTGATATTTTCTTTGATCATGCCTAATAAAAAAAAATCTGGTTTAAACTCTATTTCCTCTTCTGTTATTTCTGTTAACCAAAAAGGGAGTAAATGTAAAAGTTTGTATGAAAATAAAATTAACAAACAGGCACCGTCAACAAGATAAATGAAATAATAAGTCACTTTTTATATCTATATATATCTATATATATTATTTGTTTGGTTGGTTTTGTATTGTTTTTTCTATCTTATTGTGTATATAAATGTACTCTGTATGTATTTGACATGATATTTTATCTTTTTATGCTTAATAAAGTTTGTTTTTTTTAAAAAAAAAATCATACTGAGTCAATCAGGTGTAATTAGGCAAAGGGTTCTTTTTAAAAGATTCTTGGCCTTCTAGGAATATAAATTATGACATCTTTTATTCACTTGGGATGCCATGGTAATTATTTTACAAAACGAAACTTGCCATGGCACCTGTACTGTTGAAACATACCAGATGGGCAGAGACCATTGGAGATACTGTAGCTGGTCCTTCAAGCAACACGGTACAATGCCCCATAGGGCTTTATAGATAATAATCAACATCTTGGACTAGGAAGTTGATTGGCATTAGTGCCGCTTGTACCAATACTCACTATGGTTCGATCAATAGTATGCAGGTAGTAAGAAACTGGTTTCCCGGTCCATGAGACAGATCCTTTCAGTGGTGACAATTCTACAACTCTCATTATAGTGCCAATATCTTTGAAAGGAATAAATAAAAGGTGAACAGAATTAGGAAGCTTTCTGATGTAAGTAGATTATATAATTACATATAGATGGGATTAGATTTTGTAAAGGCACTTATGTTGGGTCATTGCAGCAAAACCACCAACACAAGCTAGATATTCTTAGCTCTAATATGTGGGAGTAGAATCCTTGGAGTGAAAAGGCAGTTATATACAATTGCAACCAATTGTCTATAAATTTAGGTGCAGCAAAACCTTAAGGGGGCAACCACCTACCCCATGTTAGGACTGAAAGGAAGGAGGGAGGACGCAGGGGTGCTCACGCAAGTCCTACCCCCATGTCCCAATCCCATCAGATCTCTGCATTCAACAGGAAGGACTGAAGTGGGTTTGTTTGTGTTCACCCAACTTCCACCTAGTGAAGAAAGTTGCTTTATTTCTAATTACCCAGAAACTTTTTCTTATGGTCCAAGTTTATATAAGCCTCCTTCAGATCTCCCTTGTAAACACAGGAAGTTTAGGATAGGTTCACTGGGGAAGGAGGGAGGAACATGTCTTTCAAACATACTTAGAGTCCAAAACACCTAGAGGGCATAGGTGGAGTGCTTAAGATGCTGGCTAAGAACTAAGAGACTCTGAGTTCTCATCCCGCCTTAGATATGAAAGCCAGCTAGGTGACTTTGGGCCAATCACCAGAAGATTGTGAGTTCTAGTCCTGCCTTAGGCATGAAAGCCAGCTGGGTGACTTTGGGCCAGTCGCTCTCTCTCTCTCTCTCTCAGCCCAAGTCACCTCACAAAGTTATTCCAGGGAAAATAGTAGGAGGGAGGAATATTAGGAATGTTTGCCACCTCAAGTTACTTATAAAGCACTGAAGACGGGATAAAAATCTAATAAATAAATAAAACACTAAATAGCATTTTAAAAGTTCATCCTAACTGTGCCTATTGTTTTGCTTCTCAATATGCAGCTTAAAACATGAGAAAATACACAAGAAAAAACCAAAACTTACCACTCAAGTTTCGACTATTTATTCTAAAGTTTAATGGTGCAAAAGGTTTTGAGGATACTATCTGACCACCTGGAAAAAAAGTTATGCTACAGGTTAATTTCCCTTAGCAGTGACAAGTTAGTAGGAAAAAATGTGTAAATTTATTTGCTTCCCATGTCATAAAGATACATGTATCTTTTCATTTGGGATGTCTCTATCCGATGAGCTTAACATATCTGGTGATTTTAGAGGTCAGGGATGTTTTCAAATGATATATAATATGAATACTGAGTATAATAGCAGAGGATAGGTTTGATGCACAGGTAGTCCCTGACTTACAACCATTTGTTTAGTGACCATTTGAAGTTACAATGGCACTGGAAAAAAATGACTAATAACGGTTTTCACACAACCACAGTAGTGTATGGTCATGTGATCAAAATTTGCATGCGTGGCAACTAACTCATATTTATGATGATTGCAGTGTCCCAGGATCATGTGGTATGATCCTGTGAATCTGGCAACTTTAAAATTTATGGACTTCAACTCCTAAAATTACCCAATCCCCAAGTCTTAAAGTCGCCAAGGTTGGACACCCCTGATTTACTGCTTGCATAAAAAGAAAAAAATATAAAGAATCGCTCTTAGGATCTTCTGTTCTTCAAAAAGGCAACCAGTACAATGAATGTGATTCAGTTAACATTTTCCGTTATATTAGGAGGACCGCATTTTAATTGCTTTGGCTCCTTGGGGCAGCAAAGAGTTGGCAGGTTTTAATATTTGAAACTGGAGGATTAAGGGGCAAAATCTATACCCTCAGGTTGGATCTTTTTTTTTTTTCTACGTAAACCCCTCCATGAAACAGAGCGGTAACAGAGGAAGTTGTGGAGAACTGGGTACTTTTCAGGGAGAAATTTCCCATTTTCCTTTACTCTCCTCCCCAAATCTCCAACAACACAGAGCAAAAAAAAGCATGGGGGGGGGGGGGAAGGGAATAATAGGGGATCATAAGGGGATGCATATGGTCTACAGCCTGACCATCTCAAGATTAAGAAAAATATAGGAAACATTCATAAAATAGCTCAGCTATCACAGTGATATGATCACTGGATGTCAGGACAAAAGAGACAAAGCTAAATCTCTGGATGAATTATAGCTCAGATAATGGCTTGGAAATGTTCATGTACCCAAATGGCCACAATAAGCATGGCTTGATGCCCAAATGCATTACCATATACATATACTTTTATTAGTCATGCATATATTTTTCCCTCACAGTTGACAATCCCTCTAACTGCATATTATGACTCAGCAGAACATTTAATACATCTGGTGAAAGGAGTGGACTGCAGTCACAGGCTACAGTCAGTGAAAGCCTTAAACCATAAAAGAATTTAGCCCAAAAGGTGCTACATGACTTTTCATTGTTTTGCTGTAACAGATGAGTAAAATGCTTAAATAGAAATGATTACTCAGTCATTCCTAATCCCTATTAAGGGCATGTCTTAATAGCACTACATCTGTAAGGAAACCAGCTCAGCAGCTTTACTGTGAATCTGCCTTTCAGAAAGTTTTTGGTTAACAATGTGGGAGCTTTCAGAGAGCTTGATGGCTTAAGAAATGATTGGCCTAATGAAAGGGAAGAGCTGGCTATAAGATAACTCCAAAGGCCACACCCAAGAGCTCCCTGGCAGGTGAAGTAAAAAAGCTTTATTTAGAATAAGCACCAGAGAATAAATTGTATAGCTCTAGGACTGTGCAATGGATCACATTTCAAGAACAGCTGCCAAATCTCTCCCTTGGTAATTAAAAAAAATTCTAAGGTAAGGCAAACCTAAGTCAGGTTTCTAGCTAAGACTGGAGCGCTTATTCCAAGAGCAGGATTTAAAAGCTCCTCTAATAGATTAGATCAAGCTTATTTAATTCAACAACTTCCTCTAACAATGCCAAACTGAGATGCCTCCCACTCGTTTGCCTAACCACCTTGTCTTCATCTTAAAGCTATAGGTGGCCAATAAGGCTACCAGGCTCAGGTGCAAAATGCAAACCTAGCCAAGAGCTATTACTCTTAATGCTTTCAATGTGAAGGGAGCTCTATAAAGATGGCAAATAAACGATTTATTTGTCACAATCTCAAGGCCCTGATCAAAATCTGATTTCTTTGATCACTACCCACAACCCTCACTGTAGAGAAAATAACACATATATATGCCAACAGAAAAGAATATTTGTAATTCAAGGCACTCTCTGAGCTTGGCTGTCTTCTTGCAGACATTACCTAATTAAGGTACCACCAAAAACACTCCCACCAATATTGGCAGGGTAAGCCACTTGTATATAAACAGAGAGCAAATCCCACTTCTTTCTACCACTGATGATGTCACCTAGTTGAGTAACGAAATGTCTACAAGAAAACAACGAAGTTCAGAGATTACCAAGAACCCTATGGTAATCTATGCTGAAAGCACACTGGCACATGAGTTCTGAAGTGGGCACTCACCCTTCTGGGGGGTTCACCAACATATCAAAGGGCCTTATAGCTGGCATCAAACAAAACTGTTCTGGTTTGTTTTCAAAGGAATTTGAGGAACTCTAAAATTTGTGGTTATAGCACAAATGATGCTAAAGAGGAGGTTATTAACAGAGAGTTTTTCGTAGAGCTTTAATGTTTCTCTTAGAGAAAGCCAAGTAGCTTACATGGGTTTTAAGGTCAAATGATATTATTGTTTCAAGGTAAATTTAAAAAAGGGTCAAAAGCCCAAGGCCTTGTTCAATGAAATGAATGAGGGAGAAAGATAGGGGTAGTAAAAATAGCATGTAAAGGTTATTTGCTAAAGGGGAGAAGGCTCAGAAGTTCAAAGCCTAAAATTATGTAACTGCATCATTGAATATATTTGGAAGATATGGAGAATATGAAATTCCTGATTTTACTAATACTGATTGCTTCCATGTATATAAAGCTTTATGCGTTAATATCCATAGAAGATAACTCGGAGAGCTTACAATTTTAGAAGAGACAAAGGCAAGAAATGGTAAGTAAAAGACATCAGCTCTAGCAAGCAATATTTGAAACTAAAGGCAAAGTCAGTTTATATAAACTTCATGGTTACAATCACAAGTCAAACACACACACACACACACACACACACACACCAAATACCTGTAGCTGCATTCCAGCTTGGTTTTGGTATGTATGTATAAATGTATGTATGAATATTTAACTCAAGAAAGTCTTGATCAAAGAATATTGAATTTATTACCTTCCTTCATGTTTGCGAATCGCTCCTTCAACTGGTGATCCACTTCAGGACCAAAAGCAAAGTTATTCACAAAGATAACACTGCAAAGTAACAAGGTGTTAGCAAAACAAGGAAAAAACATATTGGTTTCCCATTAAGGCTTAAAAAAGATTTCTGGTGAGGGGAATATTTACCTCTTACAAAATTTAACTGACTATACTAAATAAAGCCAGAGAAACTTACAAAGTGTTCTTCTGTTTGTAAAAAAATTGAATACAGGAAGTCTTTGACTTATTTATTTATTTATTTTTCTTATACTTATATGCCGCCCTACTCCCGAAGGACTCAGGGCGGCTCACAGAAATTAAAACGATGAAAACAATAAAAATAGCTACTAAAATAATCAATTAAAATCTCCCAATTAAAAATCGCCCATCAGATCAGCAAATTTGTTGGAAAAGCCATGTCTTCAAGTCACGGCGGAAAGAGCGGAGGTCGGGGGCCGTCCGGAGCCCCGTGGGTAACCCATTCCAGAGGGTCGGTGCGCCCACAGAGAACTTATGACGTAATGGAGCCTGCCCCATCATGGTGGTGAGTCAGGAAGGTTGTAAAATGGATTGGTCACATGACTCCTCTGATTTTATAACCCTTTTTGCAATAGTCATTAAGCAAGCCCTGTGGTTGCTAAATAAACCAATGGTTTGCTATTGGAGCGGTTTTGCTGAACACTGGAATGGTACTTTCCAGCAAAACTGTTCTAAAAGAGTCATGTGACTGCAGCATATCCAAACTATCAGTGAATGAATCCATCCTGCCATGCACCCAAAGTTCAGTCACGTGATGGGGTGGGGGGCAACTGTCTGGGTCATTAGTGGTCCCAAGGTAGGTCCATGATAACTTTGGTCGAAAGTCAAGGACTATCTATAATCACTTTAGGCTTTTGATAAAATGCCTTCATGACAACTATGCAGCATAAAAAGGGGACTGTAATAGCAATTAATTATGTGTCAGTGTACAGTTTTATTTTCTTCTAAATTTCAGGAAGGAGAAGGACTAGAACGAAAGCAGGCAAACTTCAAGAAACCTATGTAATTTCTCTAGTTTTCTGGAGCTGCCTTTTCTAGAGTTCTACCAACTGAAATTTGGTACAAAATAAATTCAAGCCAATTAAAGAATTCTAAGCCCAGATTTTGGCTTGAGGATCAGAACTGAAAATGATGCTCACAGAAGCTTCTATATAAATTTGCAAACCAAATTTCCTTAAGTATTTTTAATTCCAGCAGTATATCTGAGAATGGAGGCATTTTTTGCTGTTTTGCTGCTGTTATTAAGTATTTGGGATATATAAATCCTTTTATAATCTTATTATAATTCCTTCTGAGATCTATCAACAGATCTGGATTTACATATTGTCCAACCCTGTACTAGAATTCAGATTATTTACCCTTCCCTGACCTACACTCAGAGAAACCTTTCCAAAAAGAAATAGACTAAAGCCTCATTCCCTTATTTAGTGATGAGAATTTTTTCTTCTTCTTCAGAAAAGTATCCCTGTTCAAATAATACTCCTACATTAATGGAAGCTAATGTTTGAGAGATCACTGGGATTTGGCATATTGGAATGACACAGCCTTAAGAGAACAGAACTCCTCCATCCCATCTAAGGTCTAAAAGTTTTTGCCTGCATAGGCAGAGGAATTTATTTTGTTTAGTTATCAAATTTAGAGATCACCCACCACATTTTCAGAGCAACTCTGGGCAGTGTACAATTAAAAATACTTAAAGAATCAGCTGAGATAATTTTTCAGAAAAGATGGCCTCCTTGTAATGGTGCATTGGTTACAATGCTGTATTGCAGGCTGACTCTGCCAGGAGTTCAATCCTGACTGATTCAAGGATCCTTCCAAGATTGATAAAATAAGGACCCAGACTGTTGGGGACAATAATCAGATTCTATAAACCACTTAGAGAGAGAGGGCTGTAAAGCACAGTGAAGCAGTATATAAGTCTGCTATTGCTATTGCTCTGAAGCTATATTGTGGCAATAATGAATCTGCCATTGAACAGCAATGTATATCCTTTGGCTTCATTTAGCTTTGTATATAAACATATAAAGATAGCAAAATCAAGGGATCATTTGGGCTGTCTAATACAACCCCTACTTAGGGCAGAAGCCCAAATTAAAGCATTCCCAACAGATGAATGATTGGATATGCCTGGACAGATCCATCAAAGGGATGGATGTCCACCACCTCCCTGGGGAAATGACTCCAAAACCATGAAAGTTATGCTTAAATTCTACACTGTTTTCCTATACAGAATATCCCCAGTCCCTGTGAATACTATCCCTGAAATTCCAAGAAATAGGGAACGTTAATATTATTTGCTAACAAATCAATGGAGCAGATGGGATACTGAATAGCAATCCTCAAAATGGGAGATGAGACTGACTTTTTAATCAAACAATTTTATATTTAGGATGGCAGCCCTGGAAACCAGGTTAAAACCGTACCTTGTATTTGCAATTCTTTCTCGCCATTCTTCTGAGAGGAAATCACCTCTTTCCAGCTAAAAATGGATTAAAGAAAAAAGGAGCTTGAAATTTGAATTTAAACTAAGCCACTTTTTAGATGTCTAATCCAAACATATCTATTACAACACAGAATAGAGAAGAGGAAGAATCTACGGTTTTTTATTGCTGAATATTAAGGCATCAAAAACATGCTATGAAACAGAACATAATCCATTTTCAAAGTTCTTTTGTGATTCTAATATAACCAGTTACTTGTTTCAAGAGAAGACTAAGCCTATGTAAATCCAAAGGACATACAAGGCTGATTATTTTTTATTTTTTCAACATTAAAAACACACAAGCAACTACACAAAGTATTAAAAGAGGATTGAAGAGTAGATGATTAAACCTTTTCCTCCATTCTAAATTCTCACTTCCCATCCTACCTTCTGACCCAAAAGGAAAGGAAGACTTAAACAGCCCACCAACTGCAATCACCAATCAGCTTTCAGAATTAAAATGTACTTTGGAGAGGAAATATAATTCTATATTTGAGATACAGCACATGGTGTCAATAGCTTGTACAATTTACCATTACCTAAAAAAGGTATTGAGAATCTGAGCACAGATATGGGGCCCAGACATAAGGATAATAGTAGGTTGTGGCTTATGTGCTGTGCGAACCAAACTGTTGTGAGAACAGTCACACAAGAGAAAAGATTTGGCACATCAACATTTTAATCATGGTCAACAATATATGCCAAAACAGAGATAACCAACCTTTTAACTAAAGGATCTAGGCCAGTTACTGCTACTAATTTCAAAATCAGGAAGAGTTTGATAGTTTTCTGATTACGGATAATCCCCGATTTATGACCAGAATTAAGGCCAGAATTAACAGTTGCGTGTTATGGCTTTCATTAAGTGCTTACCACCCAACTGCACCTGATTTTATGATCCTTTTTGCAGCAGTCATTAAGTGAACACCTTGGTTGTTAAATGAACATGGTTTTCCCCAATGGACGTTTTTGTCAGAAACCAGAAGATCGGAATTTGGCCAAAAAAAAAATAATAAATGCCAAAAATCATGATCACCTGACTATGGGATGCAGCAAATTGGCTATAAATGCAAGCCAGTTGCCAAGTGCCCAAAATGTAATCATGTAACCATGGTGTGTGTGTGTGTGTGTGTGTGTGTATGTAAAATTGGTCATAAGTGACATACAGAGGTCCCTCCTAACTTTAAACAACTGCTAAATGACCAGTCACTTAGCAGTCATTAAGTGAGGACTACTTGTAACAAATTTTATTAAAAGATTCTACCAGACTTTACAGCCATAGATTAACACGTGTCTCCTTCAGCAATACTGTTTGGTTAAACATTCCCTGTTTCAGCAAGCTTTTTCCAATTCAGCAGGACTATTCTAAATGTAGCAAAACTTTTTGATTCAGGTTTCTATACATACGCCAATGCCAGGCCTATCTACCAAAGACTAGGGGAATTACATTTATGGCAACTAAAGACCAGAATCCAGCCAAAGAGCCAGCTGGGATCCCAAGTAGGAACACTAAAATGACATATGACTAGAGGGCCAATCACATTACGAAACCAGTCCCTTTCCAAAAAGACTGCTTTTCTGGAGTTTAGAGATCAAAAATAAATCTGAGAAAATAAATCTACCCACAGCAAATGCATCACACCCTCACAGTAGGAAGAACCAGGGCCTGGCTGGCTGCCTGTGTATATAATACCACACACACACACACGGTTTCATTCCAACAGCCACTGTTTAATACACTTGGCTCCCAAAGAATTGTTCTGCCTGGAAAAGCACACACAGCTATTTTTAAAATAATAATAAAAAAAAGGAACACTGCTAAACATGGCTCTGTTTCAAAACCACAGGAGGGACTGGAGGGTTTTTCAAATATTTGAGCGGGCTGAAGTTCCCGCTGAAAAATGGGCGGTAAATATATTCATCCAGAAACAAGTAAATATTCTGCTGGCTTTTTTTTTTTTTTTGGTGGCAAAAGAGTAGATCTGTTAAACAGTCTTTGCGCAGGGTAGATGAGCAGGGAGAAGGCTATGATGTTGCTATTAACTGGGGGAAAATAAGTGAGAAACAAAAAGAAAGGGGATGGAGATTGGGATTTTAATTGTTTTTATTTTCAAAAGAGTCTATTTGCTGCCTGGAGTCACTTGGAAAGGTAGGTGGGGAAGGAAGGAAGGAAGGAAGGAAGGAAGGAAGGAAGGAAGGAAGGAAGGAAGGAAGGAAGGAAGGAGATGGGGAAATAAAATTCCTGGGGAACGGGATTTTCATTGTTTAAATTACTTCTGGTTCAAAACATTCTATTATATTGAGATGGATGGATCGACAAACACACAGAGACAGACAAGCATTTGCTTCTGGGAAATTGTGTAGGCTGCACTACATTGTAAGCTAAGTGGGAAGATACATAAGATGAATAAATTACACAAATGAATACGTATTCTTCATGGCATGTCTCATTTACCTTCTATCAGTGAAGGATGTTGGTTTCTGCTTTTCTAATTTAATCTGAATTCTAATTTTGGGCAATTCTCTTCTTAACCCAGATAAAGGGATTTAATAATTCACTTGACTTATCTTTCTATGTCTATGTGATTTCTAAGAGAATTGGTGGCACATAATCTCACTTGATTTTTTTCCTGACAGACTCATTTACTTTTTTCATTATTTTTCATTCAACAAGAAACCAAAAAAGTAGGAGTAGACATAATGGCCTGTTGATATTCAACATAGCTAAGCAAATTTTTCCCACAGCCTTGGAGTCAGCTGCCTTGAGCATTAATAAGTCAATTTTTGAATTAGCATGATGTATAAGCAATGGCTTGTTCAACACTTTAAAATTCCTGGCTAACGATTGTACAAAGAGACGTTAAATCAGATCATCTCCCTAATCCGAGCATTTTAAGGAAAAATTATAACCTACCAGTGAATCATACATTTTCTTACAAGTTGTGCCATCTTATTAAGTCCATCTCTATTTCTAGGCCCCTTATTAATAACTTGGAACATAACTTATTAGGAAAATTCAGCCTTCCATCCTTTCTAAGGTAGGTAAAATGAGGATCCAGATTATGGGGGCAATAAGCTGACTTTGTATAAATATACAAAAGTATGAAGGCTATTGCTTAACGCATTGTAAGCCGCCCTGAGTCTCCGGAGAAGGGCGGCATATAAATCAAATTTAAAAAAAAAAATTGAGAGGGAAAAATGACACATGGAAAGCATTCAGGGGAGGGAGTAATGACATCCCTAAAACAAAGATTCTAGAAACAGCCATTCAAATCTAAATGGTTTCATATCAATACACCCCTAGGTACCTGCTTGGTTTGCCAAGTGTGGTGATACTTCCTGGTTAACAGCTTACATGAATTACAATGAGTTTTGAGTCTTAAACTCAAAGCACAAGAAGAAATTCCCAGATAGTATATCAATGCTAAACTCTAAATCACCTGTCTAAAACAGTGTTTCTCAACCTTGGTAATTTCAAGATGTGTAGACTTCCAGAATGCTAGAATCTGGGAGTTGAAGTCCACACATCTTAAAGTTGTAAAATTTGAGAAACACTGGTCTAAATTGTAAAGGAAGTAGCTCTCTTTTATTACATATTCAAAGGCAAAATTTACATATGTCATAACGATACTATATCCTCTAAGCTCTTGGCTCAATAACCATATTGGTACATCATTTCCTGGTCTGTGGTGAAGACATTTTTTCAGGGTGAGAACTGCATTTGGGTTTTGATGGACAAGACATAAACCTCAAGTCAAAACTTAGATCAGTCCAGACAAAAAAGAAACGTAACTTGACTTTAATTAAAGAGCGCACAAGTTGCCTGAACTTGCAAATGATTAATTCATATTCTGCTTTATTAAACTTTTCTTCATCACCAAAAGGAACAGAGTTCCTTTGACTTTTCAGACCAACTTTAATTTTAATCTGTAACTAGCTTCAAAGGTAATTCTCAGAAACTCCTACACTAAAATGAAAAGTCATTATCCACATTAGGGTTACGGAAAGGTTTGCTTGGTTTTAAGAGGAACTTTGTGGTTTAGTTTCACTCACTGTGTAATCTGCATGTTTTTTCCCATACCATTTCATCCACTTTCTGAATTCTTTGTCCATCGTCTAGAAAAAGTAGAAGAAAGGAAAAGAAAGAAAAATAGTTTATTATTATAAAAGAAAAAGAAAATCCAGAGATTATGTTTCCGCAAATAGAAGAAAATGGCAACTATGAGAGTATCTAATGAGAGACTTCTACCATACACAAATTTGCACTGTCATTAGCATAACATTTTAGGATGTGGAAGGTAGCTGAATTTAATCTTATCTTTATAGAAGCATGGTGAAATTAGCAGCAAGACACTTTGAACAGCTTTTGGGTTTACCACTTGAGAAATTCAACACTTGTAGTGTCTTTCACAAAGTAGCAACCTACTTGGCACAAGGAAACTTACTGGTAGTCCTTGATTTACAACTATTTGTTTAGCAACTGTAGGAAGTTAGCGCCCACCCTCTCCTAGGAAAATGAAATATTCTAGGAAATATTAAAAAGGCAGAATATTACATTTCTCTGGATGAGAAATGGAGAAACATGTTTTTAGGCAGGAAACAGACTCACTCTTAATAGCCCCCAGCAGATGTCCACACTTAAGAGATAAAAGAGGTAGCTAGGTCTATTCATAAGCAAATGCCCTCACCCAAGATCCAACAAAGGTAGGATTAGCCCTCCACCCATCTAGCAACAGAACTCACCACATGGCACCTGGGGAGATTGCATCATCCAGCAAGACTCAAGCAAGCTTGGGACTCAGGACAGCCTACAGAGTTGCCCCTGCATGGCCCCATGGGAGTCTGACAACCAATCAGAATACAAGCTCAAATTCAAAGCCCAACAGAGGGCATAAAACCAAGGCACTCTCAGCATCTCAGTCCTTTTTCTGTTCAGGAACTCAAGCCATGTGATTCTGCTCAAGAACTCAAGCCAAGTGTTCCTGTTCATCAATAAACCTTCTTTCCAAGTAACTTCCATGAATCCAGTGTCTTTTTCCCCACTTGGAATTGAACCCAGAAGGATATTTCTTCCAACACAACTATCTGAAGTTATTTTGCCACTGAAGAAAGTATGACCAGCCCTCATGCTTACAACCATTGCTGCACCCCCCAGTCCTGTGATTAAAATTCAGGCGCTTTCTAGCACTGATGATGTTACCTAGTTTGGGTAATGAAAGGTCTGCAAGAAAACAAGCAAGCTCAGAGACTTGACTCAGAAAAAAAAAAGAGTATTAGGGGAAAAAGGCAAATAAAACTACGCACTGATTTCTATACGGTTCAAAGGCAGCCCCATATATAGCCCTTGGCGCTACAGAGCCAAATTTGGTATTATTATTTTTTTTTTTTAGTTGTTCATATTTCTATGCCGCCCACTCTCCAAGGACTCTGGGCGGCTTACAACAATCGACAGTATACTAAATAGCATATTGCCCCCAACAATCTGGGTCCTCATTTTACCCACCTCGGAAGGATGGAAGGCTGAGTCAACCTTGAGCCGGTGAGATTTGATCCGCTAATCTGCTGAACTAGCAATCAGCTGAAGTAGCTGCAGTACAGCACTCTAACCACTGCGCCATCTCGGCTCTTCCAGTGATTGGTAGTGATTGCAGCCTTCCCTGTAATAGAAATTATCCCTGAATTGTATATTCTACCCACCCACCTCCTAGGAAATTGTTCTGAGAAGCAGCATCCCCTCTTCCAGTCACGACTCTGCTGAAGCCCAGCCTGCCAATGCCTTCTGGTGCCCACATGCCACCTCCTTTTACTATGTGTTAGTTAGAAAAGAATCCTTTTAATATAGTCCCTTACAAAATCTAAAACTACTGGTATGGCTTAATTCAGAGGACAAGCACTTATGGGGAAAACAAAAAACAAAAACATCAGCCAACAATAAGGTAGATTGGGCAGCTCCTTCACAAGGAAGGTTTCCACCTTCTGCAAGGGCAGTTCTGACATGCTTCAGAGTAGGCTGCAGTTTTAGAGGCCAGAAAGATTCTGAATAACTTTAGGATCCATATATAGTTTTTTCCTTTCTCTTTCCTCTTGGGAACACTATTTATTAACAGTCACCACAGGCTGTAAAACTGAGCATTTAAGCCAGTGTTTTTCAACCTCAGTGGACTTCACCTCCCAGAATTCTCCAACCGGCATGCTGACTCAGATATTCTGGGAATTGAAATCCGCACACCTTAAAAGTTGCTGAAGCTGAGAAACACTAATCTAAGCACTGGATGTTGAAGAAGGTAGTTTTAAAAAATGGATGGTATATATATATAATCACTCTGACCAGATTTCTAAAATATATTACAATTTTAACCCAAGGCACTATGTTACCTCAGCGTATTTGGCCGGAATATCAGCTTTCTCCACACCATAGTGATGCTTGCAGTTTGTTGCTGCAGCCACCTGGAGCACAACTTGACCCACACCTAAAAGAAGACAACAGAGTACTACAGTTAGGAGGACTGCCACAATGTCGCATAAGAAACTAAATTTGGAGTAAGAAGTTTACGTAAGAACTGCAAGTATATGAGTGAACTTCTAAACTATTATTTTGTAGATCAGAAAGTAGAATGCCCTTGCACAGCCAGTATTTGGTTCACGAAGTCCAGGATTTTTCTTAATGCTACACGTTAGAAATGCAGATTAACATGTAGAACTAGGTTTAAATGCCAAAACCAACATTTGATCTGAGCTTAAAGGAAAGGTGGTTACTAACAGAGCTGACATAAGACCAGAGTGAAACATTTCAGGCTATATGTGTCAGATAGAAGTCTGGCTGTCAGATTCTCAGTCCACTGAAGTTTCCGGAGCTGTTTTCAAAACAGCACTGCAATAGTCCAGATACTTAAAGCCAAGTCTGTTTTCAGAAATGGATGGACAGATTTGTGTGCACTTAATGCCACCGATATTTCAGAATTAGAGTTCAACAGATGTTGCCTTTTTCTCCAAGCCATGGTTTATTTAGTTTACAATCCCATATTATCAGCTCAAAGTTGTTCCAAATACAACTTTGCTTTCCTTTTTTTAAAAAAAAAACCAAAACAAAAAAAACCCCTCCAAAACAATCACCAACTGGGGGGGGGGGGGGGGAGAAAGACAAGAAAGCACTTGTAGCTCTTTTTTCATTGACAAAACAGCAGGAAACTGAGTGACTTTGAGTCAGTTTCTCTCTCTCTCTCTCTCTCTCTCTCCCTCCCTCTCAGCCAACCTCACAGGGTTGTTGTGGGGAAAATAGGAGGAGGAAGATGTGTTGGATATGTTTACCTCCTTGAGTTATATGTAAAAATATTAAAGGCAGGATACAAATAAATAAATAAACTATAATGATGATAACAACAATAATAAACAGCAAGGCATGACATTGTTGCTAATTCTCCTGCCTACCCAGAAGCAATAGGGAAATACATTAGTCAAATATATATTAAGATTTCATGTTATCATGACATAATAGCTGGAAAAATAAGAATCTGCACAGCAGAATCAACAGGGAGTTCTGGAAACTTTAACTCTCCTCTGCCTCTTAATTAATTACCTAGCTGCATGAGAAGGAATCATTCATCCAAAAAACTATTCTAGATGAGCCCAACGACGTCAGATTGTATAGTAGATTTCCCCCCCCCCCATATTGGTTGCAACATTCCTCTCAGTTTCACTGTGGGTTTGCCTTATGGCACAGGGAACTGCTCTTCAACAAAGGAAGGTTCAGCCCCTCCCTAGATACCCACAACAGCCAACCACTGACTTTTTTTCCTGGGCGAATTGACAGTGACAGGGTCATAGAAATGCTATTAGCTGCATTAACTAAAGTTCCTGCTTCTCCAACTACTAGATTCTATATAAGTGAATTTTATGCTCTCGGTTTAGCCAAAACGGGCAACACTATTTTAAAATTTGCAATTACAAGAAATATTAAATTTAGGTCTTTTTTCGAATCAAACAAATGAACCCAAGCACTTCTTGGAAGCATAGGAGCCCACAAGAAGAATATAGTGTTGGAGCCACCTAGAGATTTAAAGAGTAGTACTAGATGTTAAGGCAAAAATAAATGCACATGACTAAAACTACACATGCTGGAGACATAATATCACAACTGTTGGCTGGCCAGAGCTTGATGTCACAGGCTTTTATTTTTATTTCCATCCCCACCCCACTCCTACACTCTCTAGTTACCGCCCTCATTTTGTGGGCGACCTAGTTGGACACTGATGATGTCAATTGCCACAATTATGATCTATTTCCATCATGTCAAAATTGGAAAACCACTATGGTTTCCAATTCCAGTCACCAAGCTTTGCATTACAGTAAATTGTATTTCCAACTTGGTACTGTCTACTAGAAGTCAGGACTGCAGCTTACCAAGACATGAAGAAAGTCAATGCCAAAGAACATCATTTGCCAGTAAACAAAACACGAATTTCAAGCTATGGATTGGTTATTCACAAAACATATAACAATTCTGCTTGAACTACTGTATTTTGAGTCGAGTCAGAAGAGAGAACTGGGTAGTGAGCACTCACCACTGCCTAAGTCTACAAAGAGGTCATCTTCAGTCATTTTTATTTCATCTATCATCTGGGCCACCAAGTCAAAAGAAGTCTCTCCATACACTTCTGGGGAAAAGGGTTCATAGTTGTTGAGTTTTTCTGGGTCCGTCACTGAGTGGTTATATACTTGCTGTAGGATATGGCGCAGAAGCCCATTGGAAGGGCGGGTATTCAGTTTCATGGGCTGGGTGGTTCCTTTCCACTGAAGAATGAAACAAGAAACCTATTTATCTCAATCACAATTTGATCTTTATAGCAAAAACATCTTTCAAAGCGCAAAACTCCCCTCAACGCTTGTTCATAAGCACCAAGAACATTATTCGAGTAAGAAAAAGTAGGCTGGAAAAGTTAAAGTGACCGAGTAAATCCTTCACTCTGTGGCAAATACCTGCCATGTTACTAGACTTACCATATAAGCATTAACCCTAGTATAGTCAACTTACCTCTAACCCACTTTAATTAAGCATGTATGCTACCAAAATTCTAATGAAGTGTGCTGTTGGAAGTAATGGACATCATATACATCATGGTCTGTGCTTTCTAAACAGTAGACAAACTATGATTTGCAGCTCTTCCCCCCCCCCTTTTGCTCAGCATTCCTGAGCTGAGCAACATTCTATGTTGGCCAACAAGTTGCTTTTGAAAAGCATATAAACAAAGCTTGAAAGCAACAGGCTTTCTTTGTCATGCATGCCCCTAGCTACTGATGTTCAAAGACAGGCTGTGTCTAAAATATCCTTTCCCTACAATCATTATGGCTAATTGTCACTGACCAATCTTTCCTCCTCTATGCAGTAGACATATAAGTTATGAGGCTACTATATCTCCCATTTGTCTGGTGTCTCAAATCAGCTTGACAGGCTTGGCTTTTGTTCTAACTTGTTCTTTTGTTCTAACTAAAAAGAGCCTTGGTGGCGCAGCAGACTGAAGTGCTGTTAAGTAACACCAGCTGCCTGCAATTACTGCAAGTTCAAATCTCACCAGGCTCAAGGTTGACTCAGCCTTCCATCCTTCCGAGGTAGGTAAAATGAGGACCCGGATTGTGGGGGCAATAAGCTGACTTTGTATAAAAAAGAACACCGCTTGGGGGGGACGAAAGCCCTACTAAGCAGGTATATACAAAAGTATATACTTTTGTATATACTTATATTGCTTAACGCATTTTAAGCCACCCTGAGTCTCCGGAGAAGGGCGGCATATAAATCGAACCAATAAATAAATAAATAAATAAATAAATAAATAAATAAATAAATAAATAAATAAATAAATAAATAATAACTTTATCAAATTGTAGGCAAAAACTATAAGGCAAAAAAAGCCTTCTGGATTATCATTTTGCTCCTGGGGAGACACAAGTTCAGATCCACACACCACTTTGAAATTCAACAGTCATTCTGGTTCTCAATTTAAGGTGTTTCACAATGGTTTTTTTAAGGCAAAATGGGGAAAGGGTGGAAGAAAAGAGATTAACCAAGTATTACACCCTGAGGTCCTCTACAGCAAAGGAAATATAAATTTATAAATAAATGTTGGATTTATCTGTTTATTCAGTTGTTTTACTTACCACAATTAATATTTCTAATTGATTAGTATTAATATTTGATGTTATTATACCTTGTATCATTTTATTGTAATTTATGCAAAAGTGGTACACGTATGCTGAAATTAAAAATTAAGATATTCCAATATTAAAATATAAAATATAGCTTTGCTTTTCTGCCTCATTATTCACTATTAATGAATAGTTATTCACTATTACTATTAATTAAATTTCTTTGCCACGTTAGTCCCAATGACTCTGGGTGGCTCATCTAAAAGCGGTGGTGGTCCAGTGGCTAGGATGCAATACTGCAGGGCTAACTCACTGCACACTCTAGGAGTTCACTTCTGACTGGCTCGAGATTGACTCAGCCTTTCATCCTTCTGAGGTCGGTAAAATGAGGACGCCGGTTGTTGGGGGCAATATGCTGACTCTGTAAACCGCTTAGAGAGGGCTGTAAAGCACTGTGAAGCGGTATATAAGTCTAAGTGCCTTTGCTGTAATTGAGCCTGGTAATTATGATCATAAATTGTGAGTTGTAAAGTGACTGGATTCAATTTTATGTCTTTTTTTGTGGCAGTTGTTAAACAAGATCAGTGGTCATTAAGCAAACACATTGTTCATTATGGGCTTTTCTTTCCAGAAATTGGGAATGTTGGTTTTCAGGAGGAAAAAATCATAAATCATTGCCATAAATCACATAAGTGATTGGAAAAGGCGAAAGTCAAAACCATAGCTTTTTGAGGGAGTCTATCATAACTTTAAACAGTCACTAAGCAACCAAATCATTTTAATTCAAAGGCTACCTGTGTGCATAGATGTTTCTTTTCATACGTTTTTGAAGGCAGAACAATCAAGAATACTACTGCTGAAAACAGTATGCTGGAATTGAGAAGGAGTCCGGCAAGACCTCTTATGTCTGATGGTGAGAGATAGGTAAAGACTGAAATCTCCTTATTCACTCCCCACATACAACAATTTGGGGATTGATTTGGCTGCTAGTTAGCTATTGATTGATTGATTGATCCTAAATCAGACAATTACTGGTTAGTGAGCCACTTTTAAAATCTTACATCTATAGTGAATCAGCAAAGTGATCTGTAGTGCTTGATGGCCTTGAAACCAATTGCCTAAACAAGATGCAAAAACAAAATAGCAAGGGAACACATACCAACTGATGAATGCTGTCAATAGCTCGGTTGTATTTGTCACAAAGTCTTTGCATGCTTTCAAAGCTAAAATAATGAGACAGAAAGACAAGAGTAAATTAGGCAAATACATATTCCCAGTAGCCACAAGTAAATCAACTGAAATATTTGTCTAGAAAAAAACTTTTAATAAAAATACTCTTGTGACATAGTCCTATACATTCAGAAATTAGTTCTACTAAGTTCACACGGACTCAATCATACATAAAAGGATAGGAACTTTAGCGCTGCAAATAAAATAACATTTTCATTTGAAACCTACCCTGTTTCCCTCAAAATAAGACATCCCCTGATAATAAGCCCAATCGGGCTTTTGAGCGCATGGCAATAAGGCCAAGCGCTTATTTCAGGGTTCAAAAAAATATAAAACAGGGTCTTATTTTCAGGGAAACAGTATGTTTTATTGAAACATTTAAAACAATTAAGATAGCACAATTCATTAACTTCTACATTGCTTAACATGTCAGCATTAAAATGCATGGACACGGGTGCACCCTTATTGGTGTTAATAATTCTGATATTTTTCAGAAGCAGCATTTCAAAATAATTCAGTGCCGAAGTTCTCCTATGGGACAATTGACTGTCTGAGTAAATGATACTCGTTTTCCATAATTTGCAGACTAGCTGAAGAGTATGCAAATTATAATCCCAGGAACACCCGGAAGGCACCAGATTAGAGAATGCTGCTGTAGGCATACAAGATTCATCATATGAGCTGGTTGGACTAATGGTTTTTTTTTCCCCCCTAAACCAGGCAACCTAACTGAGGATGAAAGAATCAAAGAATCATCTCAGGTCATGAGGATAGAGGGGGGAGGAAAGAAGGGAGGGACATGGCAGTCACATGTCCACTGCATAATCAGATTTCAAGCTTCAGTGCAGAGAGCTGTGCAGCTACGCCAAAACAACAGGAGAGCATATTGGAGCATGTCAGCAATAAACCTGCCTTTGTACCCGAACAGTCACCAATGCTGTTGCCTAATCCCAAGGGTGTGTGGTCAATTTCCAATTTATCTCTTGTTGTGTTTGTATTTTCAAAAGGTATCCCAGGATACCTCAGTGGCATTCACAGTAGCACACTCCCTCTATTTGGAAAAAGACCAATGGCTTATCTAACCCATGCAATGAGAATGCAGAAGTACCTTTTTTTTTCCCCTAGAGGAATATGCCCACGGTTTCCATAAATATTACAATCCATATGTTTGGAACGGGCACATCAGCCAGCTGGAAAACCTCTTTGCCTCTGAAGCTGCTAACTACTTCTGTGGTTGCTACTTGCAGTTACTTGTGCAAATCTGTCCTTCAGTGCGATATGCTGTTTGAAGTGTGAGAGATCAGGAACCGGGGAAGACAGGTTCAAATGCAAAGGAGAGGCCATGTTCTAACTGAAGCACAGCCAGAGAAGATCACAGAATTTTAATAAAAGAACAAAGTATATCTGGTAAGCGTGCCTACCTACACATTAATTAACAGCCGCACCTTTCAAAGTGTAAGGTACAGAGGGAAAGCACAAAGGAAAAAAAAAAAATCCCAGATGAAAAGTTTACCAGATTAATTGACTCATGATATTCACAAACAGTTAAACTGGTAATGAACAGCAATCTTGTTTGCCAAGAATATCCACTGTGTTGTGCAATTATTGACAAACGCGGTAGCATTAACCAATATCCTAAAGGCATAGTACCAGTTTCTAGGTTATAATATTGAAGCATTAAGTACTGGAGATTTAATCCATGAAGAGAATTTGTCAAAGTTAAAATGTTTTGCTTCTCTTGGGGAAAAACAAACAAACAAGGCTCATGAATTAAAATGGAGTGACATAGACTTTACTCTGAAACTATACTCCCATGTGTGCTGCAAAGGCTTATAGAGTCCTGCCAGTTAATATTTAACACAGGTCCTTGATTAGGCTGAAGATGACATGCAGGATTTAGTATTTGTTTTGTCATTTCGCAAGGGTAGAATAGCATGCAAACAACTCAGTTTCTCCACAAAAAAATGAAAATAAACAACCTCCACCCCATTCCAGAATTTATTAAGGTCAATGCTCAAAATCTAAACTTCTCCAATTTTTGCTTTAAAAAGTGAAGTTCAAATAATCAACGATTAGCATATGTGCAGAAAGTATCATGGTAAAAAAAAAAGTATTTACTGACAAGTGACTACAATTTCAAATTTTATTTTCAGGGTCTCCTAATGCTGCAGGATCCTACCTGGCCACTGAAATCAGCTGAAGAGACTTCTTTGTATATTCCCTTTATATCTATTCCTCTTTTAATTGGAACATAGGACAGAACTCTTCTGTCCCATGAAGTCTGTTTAACAGTTTCCTTAAATATATCATATTGTTTCTTTGAAAGCTATTTGTTTCACAGCAGTTTAAAAGTGAATCTAGTTAATCTGATTAATAATTTTATCTGCTATTTGCTTTTCATTTCTGGTTATCTCATGTATCCCTGTCCTTAGTACTGTTAGCAACTTTCTAACAGTTAAAGGCAAGATATTCAAAAAATTCACACAAAGAATGAATAACTTAAAAACAATTAAAAGTTTCTAATGAATTAAACCCAAGGAATTATTTACATATTAAAAAACACAAAGAAAGGGGATTCAAGTAGCTTTCCTAAACCTGCTGCCTTCCAGAGGTTAGGCCACCATTTTCATTGTCCATAGCCATTTTATACTCAATAGGAAGGACGCCCAATTAAGGAAGACACTATGAACTATCACAATTAACACAATTTCACTGCAAGTTCAGCCAACGTTCAGGATGGCAGAAAGAGCTCTGTAAATCTGGACAGAGAAGAACAAGACATCATTCAACTGGGAGAAATGTAATTACATTGAGAGAAAAATATAGGGCACACACAGAAGATGAGGAGTTTGTCGTTTGAAGATTTGAGTATGGTCATGGTCAATGAACATGAATCAGCATGAACATGTGAGAGACAGCTGCTACAAGGGCAATGTACTGTTGGGCTGCATTTACAAGAAGAACTGTACCAAAGAAACAGGAAGTTGTTATTCCTCTCTACTGGACACCAATGAAACTACAACTGGAATACTGTACATTTCCAAGGATTTGGGATTAGAGAATTGGCAACAAAGGTGATACTGAGACTTGAGGGCATGCCCTGTGAGAAGAGGTAGGAATGATCAGTCTGAGGAAAAGAAGATTTTGGATACACATAATAGTAAAGTTCAGGTACAGGAAGAGAAGTTACAGGAAAGATTACAAAGAACTATGGTATTTTCCATGGCCACAGAAACCATGTGCAGAAGATGTGAACGTATAAGTTTTAGCCATTGGATTTCATAAATAGAAGAAAACTCTTCTTAGTTGAGAACGGATGTAGATTGTTAAATCATGCAGGTAAAGTTGTCTGAAGGTTGAATCATGGCAATTGGACTTATTTTTGACTGAAACCTTCAGACATCTTCTTAGTCATACAACACTACCAATAAGCTTTTAAAAAGAAGCTGTGCAGCCATCTCTCAATGATGGTAGAAGCGGTTTTTCTGAATGCTGCAGAGGGATGACGATCCTTAGTCCCTTCCAACTCTACAATCCTATGGCTCTCCATGGCGCTGGGTGGAGGGAATCCAGGAGTGGGTGTTGCTCTCTCTTTTCTGCCTGGAGACTGAGTGTGTCATCATTTTTGGGAACGCCCCCGTTGCCTGGCTAGTCCCCAGTTCGGCTCAGTCTTCAGCCAGATAGAGACACTTTTTTTGCTGGGTCAGAGTTATTCACTGACTCCTGCATTCCCTTTTAAGCATGAGACCATTATTCTAAATATAAGAAATCTAAAGTTTATTAACTGTAGCTTTACCTAAAAGATGCAGTTAGGATTGCTTGACAGGAATTGCGGAGTAATTGATAATCTAAAGCTCTCTAAAGCTATTTTGGCAAATCAGTCTGGAACCCTTTGGACTACTGCTCCAGGTTAACTCAGAGCAGAATAACATTTAAGGGTCCAAAGTCATCTTTAAGCTGCATTGTATCTCCTAACAGGGATATAAATAAATTTAAAAAGCTGCTGTGGTTTATTTTGGTAACATCTGCTTCCAATTTACTTTGAAGTGGAAAAGGAACAACCCCTAACAATGAAACCAGGATTCCCTCAAAGGTCTTCATTAATGCCAATTTTGGTTACATGCCTTAAGAGACAAAACATAAAGTAGCAGTCAGACTACTCATTTACCGCTTGGCGTTTTGCAGCAAAACTTAAAAAAAAGGCGGGGGGGGCAACGGGAGGAGATTTCATGCAGTGGTTATTTATTAAAATATTTTTTTACCCGCCTTTTAGCAAATATGTTCAAAAATGCTGACAATGTAAAGAAAAACAATAAAGGCAATAAAATACATTCTCAAAAGAAATTATATTTTTGGATCCAGGAAAAATAATTCATCAATACCAAAATCTGCAACTCAGCAGTTAAAACGTCCTGCCAAATGGAAGCTAACAAGGGAATAGAACAGGCCTTGTTATGCAGGAGGTTGCAAATCACAACTGCAACCAAAGAAGACCTTTGCGTGGATCCAAACAATCATTCATATTTGGTGGGATAGAATAAAGATGAAAACCTTTGCCAACAACTGTTGTTTATTCTTGTTCCCAAGGATTTTTTTAAAGCTCCACATGCAGTTTAGTTCAGTAACTGTTCAAACTTAAAAAGGTCGCTGAACAAGTGATAGTTGCAATCAATCTTTAGAGCTCTGGCCATAAAAGTGTCCGCACAATCACATGAACACAATTTCCAATGTTCCCTGGCTATCAGGACTGCCAGAATTGCTGTTGCTAAGCAGCACTTCATGTTACATCGCACTTTACAACTCTTATCACTTAGTGACAGCAATTCTGGTCCCAATTGCCAATGTTAACCAAGGATTACCTGTATTATGTAAACAGCTGCTGTATTCAGCTGTTAAATACAGGTATAACAGACTATAACAGAAATATAAAATATAACAGAAATATTCAAAAGCACTATTTATATATTTTTTAAAATTATTTTTACAGCATCTGACACTAATTCCATACCAGGTACCAAATGCCTTTTGTAATTGCAATGGTAATTCACAAGCCTATTTTAATTTCTGCATTTAGTCTTGCTATATGCATAAATTACCCCTACTGAAGAATTAAATAGATTATCATTTTCTCACCTTTTAGTATCATAGTCAATTAAAACATAGTTTTCCATAGCAAGCTTGAGGTCTGGAATTTCTTCACAGACCCACCTGAAAAACAAAAATAAAGAAGATCAATTAATCTTTCAAGCAACTCTCCTAAATTCTATCTGGTTTTTTTTAAAGATCCCTACCAGTCCAAATACATTTACTATTCATCATTTGCAGTTCACTGGCGGTCTGAGAAAAAGAAAAAACATTTATTCAACTGGAGCAAAGAAATATTCTTTTCAGGTATTCAGCGTAATAGCTATTTTCAAGTCTCCAAGAAATAAATTTAAGGTAGTTAAACTTTACTTTATTGGGGTTTTTTAATGAAATTCGTTTGCCGCCCATCTCTCTATAAGCAACTCTGAGCAGCTTACAATAATAGAATAATTACTGTATTGAAACATAACAACATCATTCATCAAAAATTAAAAACAGCTCAAAAGAACCAGTGCATAGATGGGGTGGAGTTGGGACCTTCTACTTATCTATTTTATGCTTATTATTTCAGGAATAATCCTTAACAACATCCATGAAAAGTAATGTAACCAACCTGCAGTATTAAGTGCTCAGTTGCTCTCACTTCTTTCAAATAAGAATGTTGCTATACAATATAAGTCCACTGAGACCAACATGGTCTAATCTGACAGTACTAAATGGCATTTCCATCACCACCACCTGTCCTCTACCACAAATCCTTGGAATTGGAGATGCCAGGGATTATCATTTGGAGCAGATGTTAACTATTGATGTATGGCTCCTCCCTTCTGATGTTTACAACATTTTATGGTTTTTTTGCAATGCTGCAACCAAACAGCAATGCTAAATACAGGTAGTCCTCGACTTACAACAGTTCATTTAGTGACCATTCAAAATTACAATGGCACTGAAAACTGTGACTTATGGCTGTTTTTCAAAGTTACTACCTTTGTGGCATCCCCCATGATTGCATGATCAAAATTCAGCTGCTTGGCAATTGGTTCATATTTATGACCATTGTTATGTCCCAAGGTCATGTGATCACCTTTTGCGACCTCCTCACAAGCAAAGTCAATGGGGAAGTCAGGTTCATTTAACAACTGGGTTACTAACTTATCAACTATTTTGGGCTCAATGGTGGTCGTAAGTTGAGGACTGCCTGTACTGTAAAGGCTGAAGATTTGGGACAATAGAAACTAAAATGATAAGTTAGTCACTGGGAGAACTCTAAATTAAAGGAGGGAAAATGTTTGCTTATCGCCATTAGCAAGGATAGATGTTTATGCTGGCAAGCAATAACTTATTGCAGGAAAAAAAAAAAACCTGCAATTGCATATAAGCACTTTATCCTTGCTCCCCAACAGCTACTCCTTAAAAAAAACCCAGCATAAACAGCTCATGTAGACCTACACTGTAACATCAATGGAAGCTTTAAAGAGCATTATGAGTTGTATTCTACTGATGCAGAGTCTGGAAAGCTGTGTTTTTTTTTTCAGCCTGGAGATACCAGGCTAACACATTGGAAAGAAGTGACATCAAAACAAGATACAATGAGATAAGAGGCAAACACACAAATTACTATTCGTCTTCTGGCTTTGAGCACAGTAAGTTACCAATTCTGGTTTATTAGCTAGGCCATGATTTGTGATACGTCTTGAGGCACAGAGAATTTTCAGAAGGGGAAACTAATATTTCTATCATATTTCCCTTCTTCCTTGACCTATATCATACAGTTATCATTTATTTTATTTATTTGTACCCCGCATTTATAATTTTTACAAATAATTCAAGGCAGCAAACATGCCTAATACTCCTTCCTCCTCCTATTTTCCCCATAACAACAAACCGGTGAGTTGGTTTGGACTGAGAGAAAGTGACTGTTCCCCCCCCCGCCCCCAAGCTGGCATTCATGGATAAGTTTGGACTAGAACTCATGATCTCCTGCTTTCTAGCTTGGAGCCTTAACTGCTAGACCAAACCGGCTCATGGAAGGCTTAGAGAAGGAACTCTTAGATGTACCTATGTTTGTGCTTTCTTCCCAGTAGACTATCTTGATAAGCCTGAACCTCAAAAACAACTCTTAGATGTACCTATGTTTGTGCTTTCTTCCCAGTAAACTATCTTGATAAGCCTGAACCTCAAAAACTGATAATATTTTAAAATAGCTAGATTGTATCAGACAGAGGGGCTGTTATTGGGCAAGGCAATTTGCAGCTTATCCTTCACTTGAGGTTTCCATAAAAGGTTATCTTCTGTGTTGCATCAACAATGCCAGAAGGCAATAGCAATAGGAATGAGGCAATGCTGCTTTGCCCAAGGAACTTAAAACTACATCCCACTGGGCCAAAGAAAGGAGTTATCTGAAGGCTTAGATTAAGTGGTTTTTCTACAAGATAGCCATTTGTTATTCATAACAGAGTCAATGAGGTCTTTGAGAGAATGCTACTTAATGCAATCAGAGTGAGTTACTTCAAGGGGGATAGATAGAAGGAAGTTTCTGGTAGAATCCAGGTAAGATTATTTGAGCAGCTATTTAGGACAATGACTGCACTACTAAAATCAAACTATTGGACCAAAGGTGAAATAATTCCTATACATGAATCTTTTCTGGCCCAATTAATATTCAAAGCAACATACTACACTACTTTCTTTCATGGTTTCCCCCTTTTTGGGGCAAAATCTCAAATCTTGTTTTCACTGGCTAGCAGAGAAAGTTCTGCTATCAATAGTAATGTTCTTGCCAAAGGAGTGTATGGATAAGTACGTGTGCATGTACAGGCAGGCATACATATGTGCAGTAATGCTGATGAGAATTTGTCGGGCCAAAGGCCAGCTATTTACTGAAAATGTCTAGCATACAGAAATCCATATAAATAAGCATCGAAGATCATTTGTGAATACAGAAATACATCAAATTCTTAGTCCTTTAAACTGTACCTGTATATTATTCAAATATACTGTTTTAATACAAAACAAGTAATTTTTTTCAACTTTTCTTTAGACTAACTTATTCTGTAAATCTCATAAATATGTCAATGATGTATTCATTTTAAGTTATGTTTATATGTTTTAAATGTATTAAGTTCATATCTAATTATTTTAATGTGCCCTCAAAACCTGCTTTTTCCTCTAGTTTCAGAATGTCTTCAAATTTCACTTCTCTAAACCTAATCCTGAGAAACTAACCAACTATCTGCAAAAGTTACAAAGGGGCCTGCTCTGATCCTATACGTCTAGGGTGTGATAATCTTTACAGTGAATATATTTCAAGCTTTGTAGGTCTCACACATAACAGTAATAAATCTGTAGTTTAGAGGACAGGTTAAACCTGCTTTTAATGCACATTTTCAGTCAGAACACAGCACAGTTGAGTAACCTGCAGACTAGTCAGAAATATTGTCAGCATCCAGACCTACAAAACCAGGAACAACGAACAGACAAAGATTGCATGCCTCCCTATGTCCTAGGAATCCTAGGACTTTGGCCCCAAAAATGGCCCAGAAAATGTCCAAAAAACGCCCTGAAAATGTCCAAAAAACAGGCTGAAAAATGGGCGGGGGAGGGCCAGCCAGTGGTGGGATTAGCCCCAACCGGCTGAATCCTACCTGCGCCTTTGAGCTGAGTGACCGGGGGACTGGGCTGGGTGTGATGAGTGACATCACCCACCCAGTCATATGACCAACCGGCTACGCCTACCCAGCCAGAGAACCAGTTGTTAAGTCATTCAAGTCCCACCACAGCCTAGGTCTAGGATAAAAGGATAAACTGCAAGCAATGTATGCTAAACTGGGATATAGAGAATCTATTCCATTGCTTACTATCCAATTCCCAAAGTAGATACACAGCTATAATTACTGAGGGAAAAACCAAGGTGACACATTGCACCATCTTCCTCACTATCAGCCGCAGTGACTGAGGTACATGATCACCTTTGAACCTGTGCACTGATATGCTTTTATTCTTGGCACTGGAAAGCACTGGAGAATTCCTGATCCAATCTCTGACAAATCCAGTTATAAGAATCAGACTGCAGGTGATGTGAAAGACTATTGTTGGAAACTCTGCAATTAAGAGGCTGCCTTATTTATCTGCTTGTTTGTTTGTAAAATGTACTGGCTGCCCACCTTACCACAAGGTAATTCTGGGCAGCATACAATCTTAAAAAAATAAAATTGACACAAAAGCTAAAAGACATAAATAATTTTTTTTTAATTTGATTTATATTCCGCCCTTCTCCGGAGACTCAGGGCGGCTTACAATGCGTTAAGCAATAGTCTTCATACTTTTGTATATTTATACAAAGTCAGCTTATTGCCCCCACAATCTGGGTCCTCAATTTACCTACCTTTGAAAGGATGGAAGGCTGAGTCAACCTTGAGCCTGGTGAGATTCGAACTTACAGTAATTGCAGACAGCTGGTGTTAATCACAATGCTTTTAGTCTGCTGAGCCACCAGGCTCATAATACTGTGAAGTATTACCACTTCAAAATACTGTAAGATCCAAATACTGTGCCCAATTAAAAGATGGGGATGGGGGGAAGGAGGAGGAGAGGAGGATGGAATCTGTTGTTAATCTATTAACCACCTCCACTTGTCCCCCTTATCCTAAGTCTGTGTCCACGTCTAGTCTGTGACTAGATGTATGCAGCATAAGAACATCAGAGGGTATATACAACTTGCCACGGGACAATTCACCATGGCCAACTTGTTGTGGAACAAGAATTACACTAATATTAAAGAAATAGTGGAACAAAATCATTAAAGAAAGGATGCCAAAGGAAGTACAAAATGAAATGTGAATCAGAAAAATTAAAAAAAAATTGTTTTAAATAATTAAATTGAATTGTTGAATTGTCCTGTGGTGAGTTGGCTGCGACGAGTTGTCCCATTCCGACATCAGAATGGGATTTGCTTTTGAATTAGGATGTTGTGTGACTTGGTCAAATAGTTTGTTCACCATAATTTATGATTTGGTAACATGGGTGAATCCAGCCAACAAACCTAGGTTACAAAATGATGGCTTACTGCTTACTAATGTCCTATGTGTCCTATATTCTTTTGTTTCATTGTTTTTAATGGAACCCAGAAATGATATTTTAAGTCTATATGGAAAAGCATACTATATCATAGGAATTTGACATTACACACCAAGTATAGAATCCTAACAAGAACCAAGCTTCCATTCTTCATCTCTTCCCTATCAGAAGACTCACTTGCTGTTTTGAGATGCAGCCCTGGGAACGTAAGGGAGAGAAAGTTTTGTAGTGCATATTTGCCTTAACACCTACCGAATTGTCTCAATGATTTCGTGAGCAGCATCATGGTGTTTGTCCTGAAACAACAAAAAAAAAACACAGAAAGAGGTGGCTTCAGGACATCTAGGAAGTGACATCAACTACGTTGGCTGTCAGTACAAGAGTCATTTGCTTTAATAAACATTGTTTGCAAATGCAGAGAAAGGAAACTTAATCTCCTTTATTAAAACATTTTATCAAGAATAACACAACACAAATTCTATGCTTCCTATTTCTCCCCAACATTTGTGTGAAAGGTATTCCTTTTGTGTCTTCTACACAACACTAGATCAACCTACTGCAATCTTATCACTGGGCACCACAGAATGATGAAAGCTATGCGAAATACTGCCAGTTGCATTCGGCATCAGCGGAACAGAGGAGCTAGTTCCACTTCCAAAATGGAAGGAGGTCAATCCCTCCAAATCCATAGGCCAATTTTATTTCATTTCAGCAAGCTAAATTTTGAAAGAAAAGGGAATAATAAGGATTCCTTATAGTTTATCTTCAGATTGTGTATGCAGCATGTCAAAAAATATGTATTTCATATAGGAATACGCAAGAGTAGAAACCAATGCTTGTCATGATATCTCTATCGCAGTGGCTCCCATCCTTTTGGGTGCCAGGGACTGGTTCCGTGGAGAGAGGATTTTCCGCAAACCAGAGGGGGAAATAGTTTTGTGTACTGTCTGTATGCCATGGATGCACAGATGGGGCTTCGCTCATTTGCGCAGCTCCATTTCTGACACGCTGCAGACCAGTGCCGGTCCACAGCCCGGGGGTTGGGGACCTCTGCTCTATAGAACATTCATGTTTAGAAGCAGCCAATCTCTGATTTCCAGATGCTCAAGACAGCAAGGATAAGCTGTTGCGTTTATATCTGTCTTGGGGCCCTTGGGAGCATCTGTTTAATTGTGGAAAGCAGAAATATAAATTAATTAGATCCTTAGTCAAAATCAACAAGATTCTTCATGACTTTTGGGGAAAGTAGGGTGAATTGAAGATGCAGAGCCAATGCCCGCAGCAAAGACCAAGGAATTGGTGAGTAGATTGGCTCCTTGGAACCCATTCAGATAAACAGAGGACAGGAGCCCATATAGACTTCAAAAAGCTGCTCCTCATGAGGAGATCACAGGATAGCAATTTTCCCTGGATTGAGTTCTGGGAGACAAAGGGATCCGCCTTCTTGCTTACAATCAAGATAGAGTATTAAAGGATACTTAAGTTCATGGATCTCACTTTCTAATCACTTTCAGAACCTGCTTATTAATTAGTTCTAAGCTATTAGAGAACAGCAGGTTTGAAAACACCTGGTAAGTCTACCTTCAATCCTGAATTAAAATAACAATAATAAACTTATATATTTAAAGAGACTGAAATAAACAGCAAAAAGCTAAATAAGGTTTTAATCTTAGGAAGTTATAAATTGACTAAGGGATCCAGGTAAAATTGGAGTATTGAAGCTTTTTCATAAGATTTTGGAATTAATTCTAACGAACAAGCAGCTTCTCATGGGAAATAGATTTTTTTGGTTTTTACAAGACAAAACAAAGATAAGCAATTTTAAGATTTCAAAAATTGGATACTAAGATAATTAACATTTTTTAGGTATAAGCTTATAAAATGTTGTAAAATGTTTACCAATTAAAATATTGAAGGAGACTTTGAAGAAGGGAATCAGAAAATAGTAATCACAATATCAACAATGTCAGTAATAATATATGTTTCTACATTATTGAAGAAATAACTGATGTAAAACAAATGTTAACTGACGAAACACAAATGGCATTGAAAGTGGATTTACAACTAACAGGGCAAGATGATGACTTAGAAAAGATGTTTCATTAGATTTTACAAAAGGAACTGGCTGATGTTTTAAAATTTAAAAGGAAAATACAAAGGATAAATCAAGAGTGATTTGGATATTTTTTTCCTATTGGATTTACAAAAGAGGCATGTTAGAGCCTTGAAAAATTCTGTGTGATGCAACAAAGAAGAAATGAAGATAAATTAAATCCTACAACAATATTTGAATAAACTAAAGGTCAAGCCTTTTAGAAATAACAGGAAAGAATATTAAGTTGGTTTATTTGATCAAGGTTAAAACAAGATGTTATAGATTCTGGCAACCCTTTATGGACTTTCTGCTAACACCAGGACTCAAAAGATATTTTATGGATTTGTTTATAGATAAGAAAAGGGATATGGAATGAAGAGATAAATGTTTGTTAATTTGGAGTAGGTGAAAAGTCACTAAATTTGTTTATATTTATTGTGATGACAATTGGAAGTCACTTCTTTATATATTAATTTCCTCTATTATATTCTTACTTTTCTTTTCTTTTTCACTTTTCACTCCTTACTGTTCACTTTTCTTTGGTTTATATTAGATTTTACTATTATAATAAAAATTCTTAATAAAAACTACATATCACAAAAAACCAATAAAATTCTTCTAGAATTCTTATGCTTTTACAAGTTCTTTTCATTTCAACTATCCCCTTTTAGTAACAAATAAATAGAAATTAACACTGGTCTCTTTACTGAATTCAAAAACAGAAGCTACAGATAGAATCTGATTAAGCTTTCCATATTCCTAGTGAATTCAAGACAGTGATGGGATTAGAAATGGGAATATCTTGGTTCATAAGGGTCTTTGAATTACATGCTATACAAGAATATGAAGAAACTTAAATGTAAAAGCTTAAGAATTCAAACAATATACTTTAAAATATTAGAAAGTTAGAAGAGGCATTTGTTTGATAGGAAAATCTGTTTCTAAATGTTGTGTTCTTAGACCTCTATATTTTCAGCTATTTCAAATTTAAAACAAAAACAACCTTTTTTCTGAACCAGAACAGATTTTGTACCATCATCTAAAGTACTCATGAACTGAATTCGTTATGTGGTATGCAGAACTTCATTGAATAGCTCCATCCTTTATGTTATGCAGGACATATAGCTCCTCCTTCTGACTTTCTATTCATATACTGTGAATAACTCTAACAGAAGATCATGTGAATAGCTGTATACAAAGACTTTCAGATAAACTGGAACTAAGCAACATATGAGTCACATGAAAATCTCTGCGATAGTACTATAAATAGTTCTCTATCATTTTCAAAGTAGCATTCTTTCAAAATTAGGAATGGGTATTAAGTGAGAAATTAATACAAAATCAATGTTTTAAATAATATATTTGATTTATATTACTTTTATTTTAAATATGTAAATATTACACTTCTTATAGAATAAACAGATGAGTATAACCTAAAGATAATGACATTGGTAATACATTTTATTTCTTAACAGAATCAATACCCCTACAATTGAGGTAAAGGAACTTTCCCCAGAGTAAAGAGCCATTTTGATCATTTCAAATCTATTAATATTATTCCTATGAAACATTGGCATTTCAGTTTCACCTGATGAAAATAAGTTGCTCCAATCTGCCTAAGAAACCACACTTTTAAGACAAACCAGTAATATGTTCTTTATGATATTCAAGTCAGAAAGCTTCCTGGGTGAGTGGCAGAGAGCTTAATCGACAGAGAAAACTGAGACTATCAAACAAACTTTTGACTTGACAAGAAGGTCATCTGGAAACCTCCCATATTGGGTAGATGTGTTATTCTTTAGTCAGCAACCCCCAAGCATTTTCTTTATGTGGATCACTACATTATTATCAACAGCTTTGATAATAAAGGAGCCAATAAACTAAGGACTGGTAACATGGTACCTACCAATGCTATAATACGATTCTCCTCCCCTGGACATACTGTATTTTTCGGAGTATAAGACGAATTCCCCCCCCCAAAAGAAGGTGAAAATGTTGGTGCGTCTTATACACCAAATACAGCCATTTTTGGCCTCCTGAAGCCCCGCCCAGCTTGTCCCATTTTTGTGAAAAATGGGCCCGTTTTTCGCAAAGACAGGGTGCACAGAGGATTTGGGAGGCCTGCAGTGTGCTCCTGGGGGCTGGGAAGGGCAAAAACGCCCGTTTTGTGAAAAACAGGCCCATTTTTCACTAAAATGGGGGCATTTTTGCCCTCCCCTAGCCCCCAGGACCACTCTGCAGGCCTCCCAAACCCTCTGTGCTCCGTTTTTTGCAAAAAATGGGTGAAAAACGAGCCTGTTTTTGTGAAAAGCAGGGCACGCAGGGGGTTTGGGAGGCCTGCAGGGTGCTCCTGGGGACCAGGGAGGGAAAAAACCTTTTTTTTCTTACTTGCCTCTTCGAAATCTTGGTGCGTCTTAAACACCAGTGCATCTTACAGTCCGAAAAATATGGCATCTACATCACCACAAAATTACATTAGAAAAAACATCCAAACCTAACAAGATGTTTGTGTTCTCATGGGACTGTTTGGATTTAGAGGCATTTGCATCTAAATAAACAAACAACTTTAGCTGTCCCCTTCAATTCTGGCTACATTTTAAAAAGGATTTTTCTCTTTTGAGACACATGAAGCATACACATCTCAACAAACAAATAACTCTAGCTGTCTGCTCTGATTCTGGCTACATTTTTAAAACTATTTTAAATTCTGTTTTGCCGCATGTCCTAGACTTCACTCATACACTACTATGGATCAAAATTTAGGAACCATTAGTTTAGGAAATACAGAATTAGAAGCCTTAGTTTATTATTTGAATCAGACTTTTTAATTCCTCTGATTTAAATTAATCCATTCTATCTTCAAACTTCGGTTAAGCAAAACTTATGAAGCGTAGACTCTGGACCAAGATCATCTTTCAAAGATTCTAGTCCCAGTTCAGTTTAATACTGTACTGTATTTCCAAATGCCCATCAAAGAAGCTCCCTTCCTCATCAAAGAATAGGCAGATTCTCCTGGGTGCAGACAATGTGCTTAGCACATTGTAAGCCGCCCTGAGTCTCCGGAGAAGGGCGACACATAAATCAAATTTAAAAAAAAATATTCATATACTATTAAAATTCTGATTGCTGTAATCCTTAACTGGGCAAAATGGTGCACCATAGAGCAAAAGCTTTTGATCCAAGGTATCTCAAACTAGCTAA